CTAGAGGCTGGATTAACCCTAACATAAACATAGCAGTTTCTCTGAAACTGCTATGTTTATAGAAGAAAGGGTTAACCCTAGCTGGACCTGGCACCCAGACCACTTCATTAAGCTGAAGTGGTCTGGGTGCCTATAGTGGTCCTTTAATTATTTATTTGTCATGGTCAATGCTAGGAATTTCATGAGATTTTTATTTCCAGATACTGGGTAACATACAGATTACTCTGCATCACTATTTCCCCCAAAATGTCATGGAAGTAGGGCAAAGTTATCAACTTTGGTATTGATTCCAGATTTGACTGTAAAAATTGGAACGTCGGGCACATATTTATCTGGAAGTGCCCATTCTATGAGGTCAAGGTCACAATTTCTTCTTGGGGAAGAAAGCCTCATGGTGTCAGTGAATTAATCACCAAACTCTGATGCAGTGTCGGTGTTGCTGCCAGACATTGCTGTCAGTATGGTATCTTTTGCATTGTATTAGTAAAAGCAGTTTTTTAGAAATGTATTGTTTTATTTAACACTTAAACCCCCACCGGACCAACTAAACTTAACCTTAAAATAACCTTCACTGCTCCAGCCTTTCACCAGTCTTAGGGCAATGGATCACAAAAAGAGAAGTTAGAGGTACAGGTAATAAGAGTACCTAAAAAGTTAAACAATATAAATGATTTGACCTGAGTGTCAGCCCCTCTCACTGTAGTTTCAGCAGTGTACACAGGCAAACATAACAAGCTCCAGGGGACATCAGCCATCCATTGGGCATTATGTGCCCAAAACGTCTGCTTGTTTCACTTGTCCTTCAAATAAATACTTGGTAGCACTTCTGTACACACTTCAACTGGAAGCGCAGACCTTATGTTTTCTATGTTTGCTACATCACCTTTTTAACATTATCTAAAATGCAGATATCTGAACAGTGACAAAAAAGAAACATTCTGATGTTTTCTACTGCTACAGAAGATCACAGTAACAGTGATCAAATGGCTAATAAAATATATTTAAACTTTCAAAGTACAACTAGGTATTATGGTGCCTACACTATAATGCAATGGTACTGCTAAAATTATTAAAATGTTCAGATCCCCATTTATCAAAGAAAGAAAATCAACCACTATGGTGCTAGTGGTTCGACGCTGCAGCATTGCTACAGAAGATCACTGTAACAGTGATCAAATGGCTAATAAAAGATATTTAAACTTTCAAAATACAACTAGATGTTATGGTGCTACACTACAATGCAATGGTACTGCTAAAACTATTAAAATGTTCAGATCCCTTTTTTTTTATCAAAAAAAGAAAATTAACCACTATGGTGCTGTAGAAACATTGCTACAGAGGATCAAAGCAACAGTGATCAAATAGAATAGCTTAACTTTAAAACTGCAGCAGTAGGCGCGTAGCCTGGCATCTCATGGACACGGACGTGTGAGCCATCAGCTCCGACGAGGGTAGCTAGAAAAGCAGCGACTGCAACCGCAATTCTTACCCAATTAGAGATATTCTATTACTCCTGGGAAGCCAAACACCATCATGTCCCAGAGGGCACCTAAAAAAGCAAAAATGCGACCAGCAGCACTCCAAATCTCTTCATTAACACCACCGCGCAAATGCTGCCAAGATGGCGCCGGAGGCCCAGACTCACCTGCAGCCCGCTCAGAAAGAAGCGACAGCACGTCCATATCAGCAGGAAATGATGTTCCAGCTTTAGAGATAGCTCTCCGAAAGATGCTCCATGAACTGCAACAGACTCTGCAAGCAGAGTTTGCTAAATTAGCCAGAGATGTGCGTGCTGACATTAAAGCAATCAGTGAGCGCACAACAGCACAAGAAGACAAGACAGAGGAAATTATCGACGCTCATAACAACCTAGCAGGAAACTGCGGGATGATAGAAACGCGCCTGTATCACTTAGAAGCCAAGGTAGCTGATCATGAAGATCGGGATAGGCAAAATGATATACGCCTCCGAGGCATATCGGAAGACATTAAGCCCTCATAACTGGGGGAATATGCTGTCGGCCTATTTAAGGCGCTGTGCCCAGGCCTTACAAATGAAGACCTACGCCTAGATCGAATTCACCATCTACCAAGGCCTAAATTCCTGGCTAACACTGTTCCTAGAGATGTCATAAAACGTATTCACTACTTTACTTCTAAAGAAGTGGTGATGAGAGCAGCAAGAAACCCTGATGCCATATCGTATGAAAACTATTCATAGATAGTGATGTCCCGAACGGTTCGCTGGCGAATAGTTCCTGGCGAACATAGCGTGTTCGCGTTCGCCACGAATGGCGAACATATGCGATGTTCGGTCCGCCCCCTATTAATTTACTAATACTAAGTAAAACTTACTTAGTATTAGTAAATTGTGCCCCTACTCGCAATACCGCGAGTAGGGGCATGTCTATTAAATAGTGAACAGCCTGTGGCTGCTCACTGTTAACAAAAAAAAAAAATTGTCCTCCCCCGGCCCCCACCACTGAACGGTGGGTGGGGGCCCTAAAAAAAACAATAAGGGGGGACCTACTGTCCCCCCCCCGGCCCCCACCCCTGAGCGGTGGGTGGGGGCCCTAAAATTAACAATAAGGGGGGACCTACTGTCCCCCCCCGGCCCCCACCCCTGAGCGGTGGGTGGGGGCCCTAAAATTAACAATAAGGGGGGACCTACTGTCCCCCCCGGCCCCCACCCCTGAGCGGTGGATGGGAGCCCTAAAATTAACAATAAGGGGGGGACCTATTGTCCTCCCCTGGCCCCCACCCCTGAGCGGTGGGTGGGGGCCCTAAAATTAACAATAAAGGGGGACCTATTGACCCCCCCTGCCCCCACCCCTGAGCGGTGGGTGGGGGCCCTAAAATTAACAATAAGGGGGACCTATTGTCCCCCCCGGCCCCCACCCCTGAGCAGTGGGTGGGGGCCCTAAATACAAAGGGGGGGGACACTAGTCACCCCTCCCCCCCAATAAAAATGAGCTCCCTAACTACCCCCCTCACCCTAAAAATAATGAGGGGGGGCCCTTTAACTAAAAACCTGTAAAAAAAAAATTAGATAAAAATAACTTATCATTTGAAGTTTTCTTTCTTCTACAATCTTCTTTTTTCAGCCCCCAAAAAGGCCAAATAAAAAGCCATAAGAACCGACGCAATTAAAAAAAACAAAAAAAAAACGAGCGCACAAAAAAATAATCCATCTTCACCCATGGAGGCTCAGCGCGGACTGAGCTCTGCAGGGCGGGGAGAAGGCTTATAAAGCCTTGCCACGCCTGCAATTAGGACTAAGAACACTCTGATTGGCTGGTTTTAAGCCAATCAGAGTGCTCTTTGTCATTTTACACAGCGTGTTTATAAAAGCCTTCCCCCACGCCCTGCAGAGCTCAGTCTGGCGGGCCTCCATGGGTGAAGATGGATTATTGCTTCAGTTTTAATGCGTGGGTTCTATGGCTTTTATTTGAAGATTGTAAACATCAAATATGGCAGAGATTTTTACCATCTATTTTGCAGGTTTGTTAACGATCCCCCTCATTATTTAGAGGTAGTAAGGGGATAATTTTTTTTTTTGGGGGGAGGGTCTAGGGCAGCTCCAGGGGTACGTAATAGGTCACTATTGGTACAGGGCCCCCACCTCGGAATTGGTTGAGAACATTTGCCCCTTATTTACAGTAGCTACCCACCTCAGGGTGAGCGAAGAGCAAACCCATGTCCCCTTTACGCTGTTAATTTTAGGGCCCCCACCCACCACTCAAGGTGATGAGAGGGGGGACAATAGGTCCCCCCTTATTATTATTTTAGGGCCCTCTTACCCACCTCGAAGGGGCGGGACATAGGTCCCCTTATTATTATTAGTGCCACCCACACGGCCAGGTGTGGGGGGGCCTGAGTGAACGGGAGGTTCCCCCTTGTGTTAATTTTTAGGGCCCGCACCCACCACTCGTGAGGGCCGAGAGCAGGTCCCCCCTTATTGTTAATTTTAGGGCCCCCACCCACCGCTCAGGGGTGAGGGCCGGGGGGGACAGTAGAGTCCCCCTTATTGTTAATTTTAGGGCCCCCACCCACTGCTCAGGGGTGGGGGCCAGGGGGGGACAATAGGTCCCCCCTTATTGTTATCAGGGCCCCCACCCACCGCTCAGGGGTGGGGGCCGGGGGGGACAATAGGTCCCCCCTTTTTGTTAATTTTAGGGCCCCCACCCACCTCTCAGGGGTGGGGGCCGGGAGGGGACAATAGGTCCCCCCTTATTGTTAATTTTAGGGCCCCCACCCACCGCTCAGGGGTGGGGGCTGGAGGGGGACAATATGTCCCCCCTTATTGTTAATTTTAGGGCCCCACCCACCGCTCAGGGGTGAGGGCCGGGGGGGACAATAGGTCCCCCCTTATTGTTATTAGTGCCCCCACCCACCGCTCAGGTGTGGGGGCCTGGGGGGACAGGAGGTCCCCCCCTTATTGTTAATTTTAGGGCCCCACCCACCACTCAGGGGTGAGGGCCGGGGGGGACAATAGGTCCCCCCTTATTGTTAATTTTAGGGCCCCCACCCACCGCTCAGGGGTGAGGGCCGGGGGGGACAGTAGAGTCCCCCTTATTGTTAATTTTAGGGCCCCCACCCACTGCTCAGGGGTGGGGGCCAGGGGGGGACAATAGGTCCCCCCTTATTGTTATCAGGGCCCCCACCCACCGCTCAGGGGTGGGGGCCGGGGGGGACAATAGGTCCCCCCTTTTTGTTAATTTTAGGGCCCCCACCCACCTCTCAGGGGTGGGGGCCGGGAGGGGACAATAGGTCCCCCCTTATTGTTAATTTTAGGGCCCCCACCCACCGCTCAGGGGTGGGGGCTGGAGGGGGACAATATGTCCCCCCTTATTGTTAATTTTAGGGCCCCCACCCACCACTCAGGGGTGGGGGCCAGGGGGGGACAATAGGTCCCCCCCTTATTGTTAATTTTAGGGCCCTCACCCACCGCTCAGGGGTGAGGGCCGGGGGGGACAATAGGTCCCCCCTTATTGTTATTAGTGCCCCCACCCACCGCTCAGGTGTGGGGGCCTGGGGGGACAGGAGGTCCCCCCCTTATTGTTAATTTTAGGGCCCCACCCACCACTCAGGGGTGAGGGCCGGGGGGGACAATAGGGCCCCCCTTTTTGTTAATTATAGGGCCCCCACCCACCGCTCAGGGGTGGGGCCAGGGGGGACAATAGGTCTCCCCCTTATTGTTATCAGGGCCCCCACCCACCGCTCAGGGGTGGGGGCCGGGGGGACAGTAGGTCCCCCCTTTATTGTTATTTTTAGGGCCCCCACCCACCGCACAGGGGTGGGGGCCGGAGAGGGGGAAGACTGTAGGTCCCCCTTCATTATCTTTATGGCCCCCACCCGCCGCCCAGGGGTGGGGGCCGGGGGGGAGGACAGTAGGTACCCCCCATTATCATTATGGCCCCCACCCACCGCCCAGGGGTGGGGGCCGGAGAGGGGGAGGACAGTAGGTCCCCACTTAATTATCTTTATGGCCCCCACCCGCCACCCAGGAGTGGGGGCCGGGGGGGGGGAGGAGAGTAGGTCTCCTCCCCCCCCCTTCAACCACTATTGTGGCCAGAAAGAGTCCCTGTGGGTTTTAAAATTCGCCTGCCTATTGACGTCTATGGCGGTTCGCCGGGTTCGCCGGGTTCGCCGGGTTCGCGAACATTTGCGGAAGTTTTATGTTCGCGACATCACTATTCATAGACCTGTCGGCAGCGACCCTGATAAAGCGCAAGGAGCTGGCACCTGTGACAAGAGCGCTCTGCGAGGCAGACATTCTCTACAAGTGGGGATACCCCACACACCTAATAATCAAGAAAAATTGCGCTGAACACCACATCTACTCAGCAACTGAGGGAGCTGGGCTGTTGGGAGAAAGGAACCTGCATGTTACTCTACAAGATAAAGCTCATAACCTCCGAGAGTAACCCACAAAAGTCGATAAAATTTGGACCCCACGGTCAAAACACAAGTGACTATGAGTTAGGACTGAGCTAAGCCTACTATACTAATCTAGTACAACGCCTGGATACGTGAGCATGACCTAATCTGTTTTGTATCAATGCCTATGTATAATACTTATGTGATTAATGGTTATTAGGATACCTAGCGTAGCAGATAGGGGTTATGTATAATGGTACTTGAAGGTTTACATGGAAAGACGCAAGAAACAATGACATGCAGTAGGAATATAAAGAGCTTAAATTTATTTTGACAAATTGAAGGGCAAGTAAATCTACCCACTCAACTCACTCTCCCCCCATATAGGCTCTACAAAGCCACTAACTCTTGCACTAATGTCGGATACTGTTTTTCTGACAACTATTTTGTACATAGTTTTTCCCTTGTTACCTGTCCCCCCCCCCAAACCCAACCCCCGCAAAAACCCTACGCGCTCACAATCGGTTAGGGTAAATGGAAGCACAATGGAGGCACAATGTCCACCAACCAAGCAAAATAACCCAGAGACCAGAGGCACACATCACCATGAGTCACATTAAATCACAAATGACAACCACTTACCAATATACCCGAATACCCAAACTCAAAAAAATATATACTAAATGTAACGGACCGTTTTGCACACAAGAGGTTAAAAACCGTTTAGGCGATATTTTCCTTTCAAATGCACAGGCAGCTACTGCAAGCACCAATCTCCCGAACTGCAAACTACACGAATCCTCCAACTCCCAAACAGGAAACACACGAACACTGGAAACAGCCGAACAGGAAAAGCATACAATCAGCTTACACTTCTGGCAATCAGCATACAATCCAATTCCCCAATAACGAGACAACACTTCGTTTTAAGGATCAGGCAGAATCTCATTTACTGGGGCTACCTGCCCAGCTTTTATGCAGGTCTTCCACCTGGTGGACACTCCCCTAAGGGACCAGATGGAAGACTGGTAAACATATTGGACATTGACCAATCACAAGCTTACAATCCCACAATGCATCACAATCCCTCCTCTCTGTCCTGGAGATAATTGGGAAGTAATCCAATTATCTCCAAGGACAGAGGCAAAACTCGATTAACCACATGGCAGACAAAGGACAATAAAATACATTAAAATATCCAATGTTACACTTACTACACAAAACATATAAATTCTACATATCCCCAGATAGCTTAGATCTGAACGCACATCACTACCGAATGGCGCTCAGATCACATACATACAGTTCAATCGCCATGGAGCCAAAGTCTTTCCCATAGTCTTTCGTTACACGAATAGGCTCCATGGCATGGCTATCTGGGGTGATGCTGTTCATACGCTTAAACTACCGAATGAACAGACATTCGGTTATACTACCGAATGCAGAGGTAAGGAGGCTGGCGGCTCAGCGGTGTTCGCGCAAATAAGTGTCCGTTTCCAGTTCCATAGTTTGGGCGCTGAACACTGCTGGCCATTCGGGAGTTAAAATGGCCGCTGCCATGTGTTCAGAAACGAACAAAGGCCACCCAGCGTTCGTCAATTAAGCTGCGGTAAACCGCAGCTTCTGGGCGGTCAATTGACGGCACACTCCAGTTCCCAGGTGGTCGATCATTCGGTACTTTGTTCAGTAGATTGAATCTACCGAACACCCCGGCAGAAAGGCACGAATAAGCCTTTCTGCAGGGAAAACAAAAGGTTTTAAATGCCGGGCCATAGTCTAAAGGGAGCAGGCGAGCGACCAGGCTCCTCCAGTGGACAGTGGCGAGGCTGGCTCCGCCACACTAAAGGTACAAATTTCCCACACATACCCGGGAACACAAAATGAAGAAAAAAGAGGCGAACTACCATGAGTAAATGCTTAGTGTTCATGCAGCACAGAGATAAATTGTATTTATGGCTTTAACGGTTATGTCCCTAAATGTTAAGGGGCTAAATTCACCACACAAGCGGAAACTAGCTCTAGCAGAGGCTAAAAAAGTGAAAGCCACAGTTGCTTTTTTACAAGAGACCCATTTCTTAAAATCCAACATGCCCAAATTCTCCTACAAACAATATCCTATTGGATACCACACAGGTTACTAAAAAAAAAAAGAGAGGAGTCTTGATACTATTTAACAAGGATATCCGCTTCTCGCTCCACAAAAAAATTGGAGACAAAGAGGGTAAATTCCTTCTTGTCCAGTGCCTTATTGACAGAAGAACTGAGAAAAATGATCACTCAACTACCTCAGCAAAAATCACCAGGGCCGGATGGCTTTATGAATATCTATTACCAAACTTTCTCCGATATTTTAACACCACACCTCACTAAACTTTTTAACCACAGCTTCATAACAGGCGACATGCCATCTGACATGCTGCAAGCCCATATCTCCACCATACCCAAACTGGGCAAACCAGCTACAACATGCCAAAACTTCAGACCCATCTCACTTTTAAACTGCGATACCAAACTATATGCAAAAATATTAGCAAACCGTCTGAACACAATATTAACATGTATTGTCCATAATGACCAATCCGGTTTTGTTAAACGAAGACAAGGATCTGATAATACTAGAAAAGTCCTGGATATTCTAGCGCACATGGAAGCAAACAAAATGGAGGGCCTTCTCCTAGCATTACATGCAGAGAAGGCCTTTGATAGGCTAAATTGGGAATATATGATACAGGTCTTCTCCAAATTTGGCTTTCCCATGGAATTCATAACCAGCATAAAGGCACTATACGCGGGACCATCAGCAAAAGTCATCAATGCAGGGTTCTTATCAAAACCCTTCCAAATCACAAATGGCACCCAACAAGGATGCCCACTTTCACCTCTATTATTTGTGTTACCCCTAGAGCCATTGGCATACAAAATTATAAACAATCCGCAAATAAAAGGAATCTCCCTATTACACACAGATTACAAAACTATCGATGTTGGCGGATGATGTCCTTGTTTCCATGACACGTCCAGACTCCTCTCTACCACACCTAATCAGCACACTAGAAGAATACAGCAAAGTCTCCTACTACAAACAAAACCAGACAAAAACTCAGGCACTCCCAATCTGACTCCCAGCACCGCTAGTGCAAAAGCTGAAACAGGCATACACGTTGGACTGGAGACTGATGCACCTCACATACCTAGGTGTTAAAATCGCAGCTACATATAGGGGAATTAACACACCCAACTACTTCCCTCTCCCACAAATGTGTAAAAACATCCTCCATAAGTGGAAAGATATCAAACTATCCTGGCTAGGAAGGATGAACACCATAAAGATGATGGTACGACCGAAACTGCTAAACACCTTCCGAATGCTCCCACTACCCATTTCAACCACTTTAGGGAAACAAATTCAAAAAATACTTACTTCCTATATCTTGGAGAAGAAAAGACCCAGAGTGCCCCTGCTACTTCTCCAAACCCCTGCTATGGAAGGGGGAGTGGGGTTTCCCAACATTATGTCATACCAGAGAGCCATGATCTTGGAAAATGCAATAAAATTGCATGCTCCAAAACACACACTACAGTGGGCGGATATAGAAAATGTATACAGCTCTAAAGGTACAGCACTAGATTACATGTAGAACCCTAAACAATTGAGACCCACACAAAAGACATTCCTTCCCCTAACCAAATATCTAATACAAGCTTGGGACCACCTACATCTGCTACAAGCAACTGCTACAAATTCTCCTCAAAGGCACAGCTCACAGCGTTCCATTCAATCTCCCCATGGTTGTCTGTCCATAAGTGGAGAGAAAAAGGGGTATACTACATAGCAGACGTATGTAGGCAAGGAAATGTACTACCATTTCCAGAACTACAAAAAACCTTCAATCTACCCTTATGATTCATCTTCCCATATCTCCTATTAAAAAGCTTAATCTCGGACAGAGTGGTACACCCAACACCAGCCCCACAGTCCCCTGTACAGGAGATCCAGAGGTTATATGATCGATGCCACAAGGCACTGATCAAAAATAAATCCCTTTCACTGAGCTACTCAGTGATGCAAAATCAGATATCTACACCTGATTTCACATATCGAAAACAATGGGAAAAAGAATGTAACTTGTCCTTTAATGATGAGACGTGGGTACAGTCACTACAATCCCTAAAGGGGATTACAACTTGCTATTCGCATATTGAAGCGCATAAAAAAAACCTTTATAGATGATAAATTGAGCAAAATTTACTCCCTTACATCAAGCAACTGCTGGCGCTGCAAACAAGCCAAGGGGACCATGTCCCACATGTGGTGGGATTGCACAACTATTAGACCACTCTGGAATATGGTCCAAACCGTTTGGACAAAGCTCACAGCTACACGACTAACTACACTCAAGGTCTTTTTTTTTGTCCCAAACTGACAAACAATTATTGTTGTTAATGATTCCAGCCGCCCAAAACCTTATAGCCTGCAATTGGAAAAAAACAAAATGCCCCTCTTCAACATTACTGGAACAGAATATTAGACAATTCATTAAATACGAGTTACTTATGCCCAATACTTATAAACAGAGTGCCGCCACACATAATAACTGGCGGAGATGGACGGATTGGGAGTCCACAGGTGGATCTGCAGAAATACCGAAAAACACCTGATATAATATGCCGTTCCTACAACATAGTGAACCCCTCTAGACACGACAACGGGGAAGGGTACTATAACTGGTGGTGTTAGAGGGAACACGGACACCAATAGCATCAGAAACAGATTATGATACTGGGGTAAACTTTTCTTAGCTGAAATGTAAAGGGACGATGTAGTCACATATATATGCCTGATATATCCAAATGCCTGAACCTGTACTTGTATATATATAATGTGCCGTCTGAGGAATCCACTGTACATATAACCCTCGCATCCTTTACTGTTTACCCTCCCCTTCCCATCCCGCTCCCTTTTCTTTTTTCTGTACCCCTGAAACCTTAAAAATTGAATTGAAAAAATCTATAAATGCAGCAGTATAGTGCAGTGATACTGCCGGAAGTGATCACAGTACAAAAAAAGGGGAAAAAGATAAAATGTAAAGATCGTCCATGGGATCAAAAGTTGCACTGCACTTCTATAGAGTATTATAGTAATCGTGATCAAATAGCTAGAATAATAGCAATTTAAAAACAGATGAAAAAGTGTGATTCACAGAAGTACAAAATTAAACCCTACAACACCATTACGTTCCTACAGATGACTACTGCATTAACTGATCACAGCTTACATTGGTAATCAGTAAGAAAAGGGGAAAACATAACTTTAAATTACATTTTTCTAGCACTGGATACACTGGGGCACATTGACACTTTTTTCTTCTCTTCATCAAACTAGCAAGTGAAGATCAGAGAGGAAGAAAGAGAGAGATACAAAGTCAATGTTTTATAGCATATAGTTTGTCATGTGAGCAATGTGATTGCTGTGATAGGCTGTCACAGCAATCACTAGTAATACAGACTACTGGCTGTAGCCAATCTAGTGGGCGGATCCAGTATAAATAGGAAGCCATTTTGGAATGCATAGTTTGATTTACTCACTTGGCTGACTTTGTCCCTCCCACCCTCCCTAAGGGGTTTGGGGGTGCAAGGGTTTTTTTACCCGCTTTGTCGCAGTGGCTGGGTTAGTGAGCGAAAGGTTAGGGTGTAAAACAGGCACTTGGTTAAGTACAGGGCAGTTATTCAGTTGTTTAGGAAGGGGTTAATACTGTTAATGTTAAGTTTGGTAGGTTTCGAGCTTGTCGGTAGCTCAGAACCTGGTGGGGTAGGGGTATCTGGTTATATCCCTACCATGCATATTGAAGTAAAATGGCACCTTATGTATTATGGTTATGATGTTGATTGCTATTTATATTTGTATGTTTATTGCATACAGATATGGTCCATTGCCTTTTATGAAAGAGGGATATGTAATGTTTTAGGGTGGGGTCTGGGGCAATGACTTTATTTATTCATGTTCTCATGTTACATTATAATTTATATAAAACTGTGGACATATTTAACCAATATAACATCAGTGCTCATGTTTTATGGGGTAAGATAATAGGATGGGTCTTTTATTTCACCAGCCCATGTAGTGACGATGCACCTATCAAGTTACCAACAGCAAGAACCCATGATTCTGAGCAATTTTAGAGCACACTGGGCTTTTACATGCATGGCGGTCAATGCCGTCTGTGAGCTTTAAAGCCATGAACACTCTGATAGCATACACCATCATGTAGTCATTAAGTGGTTAAATAACTTGATTATTGAACCAACTTGATTATTGAACCAACTTGAAAGATCAGTTGATAAGCCAGGCTTCATTGAAAAGACCCCATGATAGTTTGAAAGCATGGAATAGATAGTTGCTTTCATAGTCATTAAGACTATTATCATTATTACTCACCAAAAGTATCTTCAAAAGTGTCAGTGCTATTATACCCATAGAGTAAACAGGGATCACACTCAACCTCAAGCCACAGTCAGTGCAGTCAAACCGGAGGTGGCAAATTCCACAACATCAAGTTCAGCAAATCCAAATCAATATGGGCAAAAAAACCTTAAAATTAGCAGGTCTATTAGAGCCAGGAAAATAAGGACAATGTTAAAACAACTGCTGTTGATGTGTGTTAATGCTAGTATTGAAGCATTCTGCTCTTTACAGTGTATGTGTTTACCACTTCATTCTTTTCATATCAATATTCATATCTCAAAATGGGGAGATACTGCATTAATGTGCAATTCAATCAAATGGATCATTGCACAGCCTCTTAGCTTGCACTTAACTTAAAGTGAGCTATAGTGTCTAAATATAGGTTCTAAATAGATTTCATAATGTAGCAAAAATAAAAAAAATATACTTTTAACCATCAAAATCCATTGCTATTTGCCTGGTTTATTTTATTTTAAATTCAAAAGAATTCACTTGTAACTGTCACTATTCATTTTCAATTGTAACTGTCACTTGAGATTGGTACTAGTCCTGCTTTACTGTCAAATGAAATACATACCGAGCTGTATATGTGTTTTGGAAGATTTATACTAATCTTGCATCAACAATCAGTACTGATATATTTTAAGTGTCACTAGAGACACACTCTGACCCTAAATGAAATTTCAGTCTCAAATCAATCACTGCCTTTCAGCTAAAACACCCACTAGTTTAATGCATGCCTGTATTATCTAAACTCAATCATGATGAAGATGACTTGAAAGATACATAAGATTCAAATTTCGCACTGACTGGTGGCACACTTTCATACACTTCCCACTTGTTAATCTGATTGTATTGTTCTCTTTCCACTCTCACCGTCGCTTTGTTAATGCAATACAAATTTTGATACTAGACTGTTTTGGTATTAATAGTATAAATAAAAGGTTAACAGGATAAAAGTATAATTGCTTTTCTTTAGCAGGTGTTATATAGTTATGTCTCCAAGCTATAAATCCTTCCTCTTAGAAAGTAAGAATTGTATTGGTTTGATAAGGATATTTAAAATCAACAAGCATCTGTTTGTTAAAGTTTAACTGCCATACACAGGTGCATGACTTATAAGGTCTGTTAGTGTGTCAAGACATTATTGGTATTGTGGCATTGTGTGGAAGATGTATGTTTGCATATTATACTTCAACTAAAAATAAAACATACATTTGGTAGAAATGCCCCACTTCCATACCTTCTCTTTAGTTTTATATAGGATTTGCGGGATTGGATAGGACAATATGATGAAGTTGTTAAAGTACCTACAATGTTCCTTGTTACCTTCAATGTTTAATTAACATAGAGTGTGATGTGTTTGCTTTTGCTTCAGACTTGGCCATCTATTTGTAGTTTCCCTCCAAGCCACAAGTAGCCAGCACTCCCCTGCTGTAATGTGCCACCATTACAAATACAGAATGGTTGGGAACCCTAGTTTTGGGTCACAGAGGGAGTTCTTCATATAAGGATATTTGATTTCCATCTGTTTCCATCAACATTTCCTTCTTAGTAATGTTTAAAAAAAAAAAAAAAAAGAAACAGTAAAAGTGCCAAAATTACGTATTAATAACATTATATTAATACTTCACAAGTTTATTTAATAAAGAAATGTTATTTTTAAAATATGTTTGTAGATTGAGATTATTAGTTAATCTTGTGGTCCTTTATAAAGCATTCATGTTGTTCCTGACATATACGAACATAATTTGTTATCAGTTACTTCAATCCCGCACCTGTCCATCACAACATTATTGTAACGATACCTTACCTTTACCCACGGGACCCGCGCAGTGCGGCATTCTCCCTTGCTGCTTCTGGGAGGCGGCACAGTCTGTATGACGCTGGCCACTCACAGCACGCCTCTTCTTATGATGCGTCACATGCGTGCCAACGTCATCAGAATATTGCAGCGGAAATTCAAATGTGGCCACACTCCCGAACCTTTTGGGGGCGTGGCTTTAAAGTAAAAGACACCCCACTATAAAAGGGCGCCCCTGTCATTTCTTCAGCACCCTAGTGTGGTTCTTGTGTGTTCCCTCTAGTGCTCTTGCGATTTTTGTCTGTTTTCTGGTATTTTGACGCTTTCCTTACTGACTCCTCTCCTCTCTGGTTCCCCGATTATTGGCTGGGTTATTTCTCGTGTATTCCGATTTCTGTACTCCCTCAACCTCTGGCTATTCCTTTGACTATTCCTTGACGTTGAGCCCGGCCACCCTAAGGTCCGTTATACGTCTCTCTCTGGGTTACTCTCTGCGTGAAAGGGTCACTGTCTTGACAATTATTGAATAATTTCAAATAAACCTGATGACATTGTTATTTAATAATACAATTATATATTTTTCATGTAGAAAATATAAAATCTTTATTAAAATAAACAAGTATTCTCTGAATTTAAATTTTTCCAAACTCTGCTACTCTGGTAATTCTGTAATTAAGAGACTCTAAAAAATAGATGAGGATGTCATCAATGTAATTTTAACTGTCTTTGCAAAATATCACTATATAGAAATGTGTGATACGATTATATATGCAGCCAGTGTAGGGTTTTAGATGTGAAAATAGATTAAAGTCTGAAATAACTTATGTGTTGGTAAGTATAAGTAAGTTGAATATATATATATATATATATATATATATTTAAATGTATTATATAGAAGCTTGTTATTTTGCGGGGAAGTTATTGAACTTTAAGCAGTTTAATATATATTTTATTTTGCTTAAGGTTAGATATGCTATATAAGCAAACAATATTGTAGTGGCATTACTTGAATTGGAGTCTAAATAGGAAATGTCATGTCAAACTAAGACCTTGTGGCCTTTTGATAGACAATCTAGATGTAGCTTAATAAAAAGCTAATAGGGTCACCCAGCACTTTTAGTTATGTCAAAAAGAAGGGCATGCATAACCTCCCCCAATCCCAATGTCTTTCTTTTCTTTCTTTAGAAAGACTTAGGAGACCACTTGTATAAAAAAAAAAACCTGACAAAGGAAGCCTGGTCAAACTCTAAGTTTATGTCTGATATGTTTGATTCTGAGGTGTTTTCTTTTCAGATGTTGAAGTTAGGTTTTCAATCGACTATATTGCGGAATTTCATATATGAACCAGTCTGTGGTGAGTTGTAATATCACTGTTTGTCTTCATTCACAAATGTGGAATGGCAAAATCTATTTACAATAAAATGAATGGACACTCAGTATGCAAATAAAGAGAACAAAAAATGTATAATGTATGTTTAATCAGATGAACTAAAGAGCCAAGGAATTCGAGGAACACAAAGGAAGCCCTATCTTTGTGGTCAGCACTACTGAGACTGGATTTGCATTCCTTACAAGTTTGGGCATGTATAATTTATTGATCTAAATGCACAATGACATTGAATTAAAGTCTTTGCTGTGTTTACTAAATGAAAGTATAAATGCTTACATTTTGTTTACTAGTAAAGACTGTTTCAAATGTTTCTCTTTTCTTTAAAAGAAAAATAGGCTCATAAATTACTTAACTTAATTTTGACTCTTTTTAAATCCACCTACAAATGCAGTTAAATGGGGATGGTCAGTGTCACAAATGCAAATTTTTATATTTCATTAGAATTTAAGTTATGTTGTTCAAAGGCTTAATAGTTAGGCCTCAATCATATTTTTTTATTTCATAATTATATTTATGTTAACAGCTGTGATTGTTCCAGCCCCTAACTTACTCTGCAGTACCAGGTTGCCCACACAGTGTTCTGGCATCCTTGACTGGGTCCATGCCCTCCTCTCCTTCTCTGTTTGTTCTTGCGGTGACTGTTAACTCCTTCCATTCCAGAGGTTAACAGAGGGATGGGCAGATAACAGGGACTGGCAGGGAAAGGGTTGCCAGAGGAATGGGTGGATAACAGGGACTGGCAGGAAAAGGGTTAACAAGGGGTAGTGAGGTTGGCTAACAGGAGCTGGAGGGTAGGGTTTAACAGTGGGTAGATATGTTGGCTGACAGGGGCTGGAGGAAAAGGGGTTAACAGTAGGTAGTGAGGTTGGCTAATAGTGGCTGGAAATGAAGGGGATAACAGTGGGTAGTAATGTTGGCTTACAAGGGCTGGAGGGTAAGGGGTTAAAAGTGAGTAGAGAGGTTATGAGTTGTTCTGTCTTGTTATATATATTTATAATAAACAAATTACACTATATGATACTTAATAAGGCAAGGAAATGTTTGTGTGTTTGTGTGTGTGTGTGTGTGTGTGTGTGTGTGTGTTTGTGATTTGGTATGTAAGCTCTAGTGTCTCAATGATGTATTTGTAGTGTAACTTAGGTTGAGTACTTCTTGTGCAGACATTGTGGGCATATGTTGAGTGATGGAAATTGCATCATGAAGCTCCATTACGCCCACTAAGACCTGTCCTTACTGATTCTCAAAGAGAATCACTGGAGCTTGGCCATTGATGGACATTCCAGTTGAAATATGGGAAGCAGGGAAAAAGCAAAGGAGGAAATGACATGCAATCACAACGGGAGCAGAAAAGTGACAACAGGTTTACTTTTGGTGAGGTAATGATATGCATATTTTTACCTATACAGTTCCTTTAACCTCTTTAAGACCAGTCACCAATAAGGTCAGGTAATATGCTGCTGAATCTATTCATATCTATTAAGGTTAGCTGGTGATTCAGGTTTTGTGTTTGTGTTACCACCTCTAACCGTGACACTACATCTTCCCAATGTTTCATATATTCAATAGCAAATATTGGTTTGGCAAAAAGGGTCCTAGGTTTCACAATCACTCTAGATAGGATTTATCGACACAGTTATGGAACCGGTTTTTCCCCATGAAATTCAGCCTAAATGACTTGATAAGGCACTGACAGCACTGTTTAGCAAACCCCCAAAATTATCAAACTTATCTATGGCTTTGTGCATGAGCAAATTACACACTCCATATGCCTTATCACTGACAATGTTTAGAAGAAGCATCAATAGATTAAACTTACTGTTTGTTTGTATAATTCAATTACATGAAATTCAATGTACTATGTCAATATAGTTTTGCTAAACTGATACCACAACCCAGTTGATAATAACTGCACATCTAAAATAGACTCATGTAGATGGGGTTTTTAATAATGTAATCCACAGTTCCCTATATCTCATCAGATCAGTCTTGAGATTGAAATATGATTTGACAAAGAATTGAGGAATGGTACCAGGAGCATTCTGTCACCATAATCATTACAGCAGGCTGTATTACTTGTGCTTAGATTGTCCCTCAAATGTCATTAAAATAGGTGTTTCCAATGGTATTAACAGTTGCATAAATGAAAGAATAACATTGAGAAAATAATAAAACATGTTTGCTGCTTTCAAAAACTGATTTGATGAAAAGAATACCGATTAATATACATTTTCCCAAATCAAAGATACAGTTTAAATTATACTTAAACTTCACTGATAGGCCAAATGAAATATTCCTTAACATTATTCCGAAATGGGTAGATTGCTAAAACAAGTGCATTTTGGTTGCACAACAGTATGATGATCAGCAACCAATATTTTCAAATTTTATATAAGAATGCATAATGGAGAATCTGAGAAGGACGTCTTGGAAATATGTTTTTACCTAAATAGTAGGGTGTGGTGATTATAATTGGAAAACGTGTATTATTGACTGACTTGCATTCTAAAAAAACATGGCAGAATATTGTTAACTATTCTGTGTGCTAGCTCAAAAATATTTACTCAATAAGTTTATTTAAATAATGTTGCCAAAGATGACTGATGCATACAGTGATAGCCTCATAATACATTCTAGAACTTCATAGATGTGTCTGATACTTTTCACATATTTCCATTTTACATGCCAGTGTTACGTTGATGATGTGACAGTGTAAGGCATCTAATTACACTGCTTTAAGTTGAAAGCTTAAGGTACTAGGAAGATGGATGTCATTGTTCCCCAGTCAGAACATTTTTTAATAACCCCAAAGTTCAAACTAGAGATGCAATCATCAATATCAACTGTCATCGTGCTGCAATCAGTAGCAGCAGTCAGAAGGCAGTATACAGGAGAACACGCTTATATTGCAATGCTAGATTTCCAGTGTTTTTTTGTTATTTTGTATACATTGCATTGCACAAATACTCAGAGAAAGCACTAAATAATTTTTCTATTTGTGCTAATCTGTATGTTTTGAGTTAAATTTGCCTTGTCAAGGCAATATGATACTAAATTACACAATTTTTATTACAAAACTGTTGTTCTGAGTAGGGCTTTTTAAGACAATGTTTTTTCTAATAATAAAAGTCAAAAAGAGTAAGAAAACTCACCTTCAAAGCAGCATCAACACCAGTTTGTCCTGTCAGCCCAGTCTGTATTTAACATCATAGAGAAGCATTGCTGGGCATAGGGTGCTGAGGAGTGCACCAGCTTTGAGGCAGGCAGGAGAAGGAAGGATTGATTGAGGCATGGAGGGAGGGACAGTGGACAATGTATACATGTATTGCCAGTATTCTATGATTTCTGGGGCAGATGAATTTTATACACAGAGCTCACATTAGTCAGCCTGGGAATAAAGTTCCAGGCTTTTTGGGTCACACCTAGTGGCTTGATCAAACAGTTCAGCTTATTTAACCTTAAGCAGATTATTAGCCGACTAACAGCAATTAATGGTACAAAGGTTTAAGTAATGGACTTCAGATTGGATGCTCCCAATGTCTTGTCCAGATGTAATCTACACTATGAAAGTGATTTAAAGGGTAGTATACAAGCAAGTAAGTAAATAAAAAGCAACCAATGATTTTAATTTTGCCATTCAAATCATATGTTGACAAAAAGCAGGACATCCAAAACAGACATGGGTCCCTGCCCACCCTCAACACCCCCATTAACCAGGAGTGACACAAGCATGTATCACTTCTATTTAATTACCATATTGTCAATTGCTTATGTTTTATTTACATTTTCATATAATATTTATATTGGCAACAAAAAAATAGGAATATATTTAATCATACCCATGCACTTATTTTCTGTACCTCTACGTGTGTCTATGTATGTAAGTATATATGAAGGAATGTAGGTAAGTGTATATGTTTGTATGTAAGTCTGCATATATGTGCACTTTTTTCTCTATATCTTAGTTAATGTTAATTATATGCTCATTGACAGCTACTATTAATAATACTTAACCCAAACAACATCACAAAGGCGAACATGATCATTCAAAATTAGCTCAACCTAGCGGTGTTCATATTTTATCATCTATATATCTATCCGTCTGTCTGTCTATCCATCTACCCGTCTACCCATCTTCCTATCTAGCTATCTATGTAATTCTATATGGCAGGACCTTGATTGTTTGATCAGTAAACTGTTTTTCTGTTGATTTGATGTATTTTATGGATCATTGTCCTGCTGGAAGAACCAATCATGGGTAACTGAAAGCTTTATGGAATAAACAGTCAGGAATTCATTTAATGTTTGTTGATATTTGATAGAGTCCATATTGCCATATATCCCAAGAAAATGTCCTGATCCTCTAGCAGAAAAACAGTCCAAAACATTAAAGATTCATCAAAATATTTAACCGTGGGTACTTTTACATATGGCTACCTTTCTTTGTGTGCTAAACCTACCTCTTGAGGTTTTTTTTGCCAAATCTATTGTGGTTTCAGCTGTAATTCTATAATGTGAAAATATTAAAATACTATGTGATATTGTTTTTCTTTCAAACTTATAAGGAGAAAAGGGCTGTTTTACTCATATTTTTTTCCCTTTAGGTGCAAGATCTTGCCCATCCCTACTGTAATTAAATTTTATTTACCAATCTCACTAGTGACAATGCTAGTCTTATATAAGGAGGAATCTGCAATTGTCTTATGATGAAATTCTTACAGTATGTCTTCCTATATAAAATTGATACAATCTTCAACTAGTTATTTGTTATTAGCGTATTTCAAAGCTGCTCCAAAATAAAAAATTTAGCCTGCCCAATTGAACAATTTTGCCAGTCGTATTACAGTATATTCAGTCAAAGACATAAGACATGGGTATTTCTCTTCTGTGATATTTTTTGTCTTTGTAGATACTAGATATCTCCTGACTAAACAGCATTTATCTTTTCCCCATGTTATTCCGTAGTGGTAGGTAATTGTAGGCCTATTTGATGTTACAGAGCCCATGGAGTTACAGACTTCATTTCAAACACAATAAAAGCTGTGTTTACAATTGGGTAGAAGATTTGAACTGTGAGCAGGTGCTCAAGATATCTCAGATCATTTATTTTTCTTCCTGTGCATTAATGTCATCAATATTATCTGCCCCGTGCAAAATTTATCTTGATATATCTTATTTTCAAAAGGTTTATTTCATTGACTTCTATAAAAAAAAAAAAAAAATAGATCTCCGGGATATCATTTTACTTACAGACTGTATTTGTTTGGATTAAATGTAACAAAAGAACCAAAAGTGGTCTTCTAGTAAGAATATATATGAATATATATATATATATATATATATATATATATAGATGTAAAAAACAGATAAAATTCTTATCTTGTAATACCTTTTTTATTGGACTAACAGAATTTTTTAATGACAAGCTTTCGGGAGAACCTCCCTTTCTCAAGTCTGAAGCATTTAATTATATATATAGTTACTAATTATTAATATATATATATATATATATATATATATTGTATATATATATATATATATATATATATATATATATATCTAAGTAATTATTAACTAATATATACATATTAGTAATGTAGGCTCCAGACTAAAAGGAAAATTCTTTTTTTGTTTACTATAAGAAAATCAAAAGACTGCACTTTAAATATTCATTAATTTCTGTGTCTTAATAAACATCTAATTAAGCATATAAAAATATGTATTTTTTAGATTTTCTAATGCAATTTATGAGGTTTCCTAATTTCCTAATGTAATGTTTCATGCAGAGAGGATATTTGTCAACTGTTATACTTTAACATGTGTTCATTATCCTGCAAAATATGCAAGGAGCAACAAATCTTTAGAGTTATCTCAAATTACAAATATACAATAATTGATGCAACTGTCTTACTATACTTGGAATCGAGAAAAGCATTTGCTATGATTGTTTTTTCCACATTTTTATGCAATGCTGCTCTACAATAAATAGGTGGAACATTCAGAAAATGCTACAAAAGATAAAAAAATAAAAAATAAAGTGGATGTGAAACCAAAACATGAAAAAAATGGTGGATGTAATAATGATTTTAACCCCTTAAGGACTGAGCCAAATGTACATGTTGTGAACAAAACAAAACGTAAACAAAACCTGACATTTGCGCTATATGTCTGTCCAACCATAATTCACCTCTTTCATATTAAATGCACCCACCCTTATTATATATCATTTCATTCAAGGGAAACAAGGCTTTCATTTAATAACAAATACTTAGCTATGAAACATAATTTAATATGAAAAAATGGGAGAAAATAAGAAATTTTATTTTTGTAGTTATACATGACATTTTAACTGTCAATGTCATAATACTGTTTGCTTTTACTGCAATGAAATACACATATTTGTATTCAGCAAAGTCTCACGTGTAAAACAGTACCCCGTATGTACAGGGTTTATGGTGTTTTGGGAAGTTACAGGGTCAAATATAGCATGTTATATTTGAAATTGAAATTCGCCAGATTGGTTACGTTGCCTTTGAGACTGTATAGTAGCCCAGGAATTAAATTTACACCCATAATGGCATACCATTTGCAATAGCAGACAACCCAAGGTATTGCAAATGGGGTATGTCCAGTCTTTTTTAGTAGCCACTTAGTCACAAACACTGGCCAAAATTGGTGTTTTTTTACATTTTTCACACACAAACAAATACTAACGCCAACTTTGGCCAGTGTTTGTGACTAAGTGGCTACTAAAAAAGACTGGACATACCCCATTTGCAATACCTTGGGTTGTCTACTATTGCAAATGGTATGCCATCATTGGGGAAATTTTTATTCTTGGGCTACCATAGGGTCTCAAAGGTAACGTAACCAATCTGGCGAATTTTAATGTGAAAAAAATGAAACACAAGCCTTATATTTGACACTGTAACTTTTGAAAACACCATAAAACCTGTACACGAGGGTTACTTTTGTACTCAGGAGACTTTGCTGAACACAAATATTTGTGTTTCAAAACAGTAAAAAGTATCACAGCAATAATATCGTCCGTGTAAGTGCTGTTTGTGTGTGAAAAATGTCAAAAACTTCACTTTTACTGGCGATATCATCGTTGTAATACATTTCACTGTTTTGAAACACTAATATCTGTGTTCAGCGAAGTTTCCCAAGTAAAAAAGTACCCCCCCATGCACAGGTTGTATGGTGTCTTGGAAAGTTATAGGGTTAAATATAGTGCTAGCAAATTAAATTCCCTATACTTTCGGCATGGGTTGTCAGGCAGGTCCCGCTAATTGTAATTAATTAAAATACCTAATTATGTAAAAATATTACATAAATATATATGTAGAATTAATATATGTATATATATATATATATATATATAATTTTTAAAAAATATTTTTATTTATATATAGGTATATATATATACGTATATATTTATGTATATAGATATAGATATATATATATATATATATATATATATATATATATAAAACAATACAAATAGCTTCTGCCCTCACGCTCCAATGTCCCTTAATAGCCGGGTGCCAACCAAAATCAGCTTCAATATCCAAATAATCCAAAGGTATGGCTGCACTCACGTATAAAAGTCCAAAATTTATTAGAAAAAAACAATAAAATATCAAGTGATCAACGTTTCAGTCGCACAAGACTTTCATCAGGATCATAAAATTTACAATGACATCCATTATATACACATATAAAATTGATCCAATTAAGCAAATTGATTGATTTAACTAAATTAATAAATAAATAGGTAAATAATTTATCTACCTATTTATTTATTAATTTAGTTAAATCAATCAATTTGCTTAATTGGATCAATTTTATATGTGTATATAATGGATGTCATGTCATTGTAAATTTTATGATCCTGATGAAAGTCTTGTGCTACTGAAACGTTGATCACTTGATATTTTATTGTTTTTTTCTAATAAATTTTGGACTTTTATACGTGAGTGCAGCCATACCTTTGGATTATTTATATATATATATATATATATATATATATATATATATTATTTCGTTCTACGTGTATTTTGATATAAATATATATATATATATATCAATACAGTTAGAACGAAATAACACACATCTATATATTTTTTAATTATTTATTTTTAATTTTTTTTTTTTTTACGTATTTACATATTTATTTTTTTATATTATATATAAATATATATATATATATAAAATAATTATATATATATTTAATCAGTATCAATCTACGTGTAATTTGATATTAATATATATATATATATATATAAAATTAAATATATATTAATAGTAAAACACACCTAGATAGTGTATGTGTGTGTATGTATATGTGCATATATATACTTAGATCATATATATATATATTAAATATATATATATATATATATATATATATATATTTATATATATGATCTAAGTATATTATTTTTTTTACACTGATTTTAATTTAATTTTATTTTATTTCCAGCAAGAAAGGGGAACTAACTGTCATTACAGGCAGTCCCCCTGCTGGCAATGCAGCAGCCAGCTAACCCGGCCATGTGATTGTGAGGTCCTCGCAAGGACCTCACTCTCACATGGCCGTGGGGGCCGGAGGAGGCAGGATCCGCTGCGGAGGACTCCCTGGGATCCCAGGGTAAGTAACAAAAAATCGGAGGGCGTACTATTACGCCGTGCGGCGTTTAGAGCCACTTAGAATAGGGCGTAATAGTACACACTCTGGTTTTAAGAGGTTAATGTATGTCAATATATAATAAATTGTGTTTGTAATTGCAGAAAGATCATTAACCCACGCGTATAGGATGTCAAGAATACAAAGTTGATTGCAATGTCATCACTGTGAAATATTTTGTTTAGCATAATCTTTTTGCACATTTCGATTTAAAAACAGAAAATACATGAACATAAAGGATCACTATTAAGCAAATTAGCAAAAACATAAAGCAAGTTGCAATAAACCAAAAAATATATAAAAATCCTAAAGTATCAAGAAAGTAAAAGGGATGTTGTAAATTAAATTTTTATGTTATGGTGTTGGAAATCAGAAACATTTACTGAATAATATAGTGGTAGCTTGACATTATGTCAAGGATAGTAGGGTTGCAAATTGATCCATGTTCCAATGATCCAACACATTTTTACAAACTTGTGATGAATGTGTTAGTGTGTGGTTAATATATCCATCTGCTTAGCTGATATTATTTCTGTCACTTGTGATAAGGCTAGTGAAACAGATCCCTCTCTGAAATTGCTATTTTTATACCATATGACCAATGAGCTTAGCAAGATATTATTGGATATATTCTTAGAACAAATGATGTGTAAATTCAGGAGTAAATGGAACATTAATATTAAAATTTTAAAAACTTTCACAAAAATGTGGTCCCAAAGTACCCTAATTTTAGGGCAAATGGAGTAACATCATCACTGTATTAGTTTCACTTCAAAATTTGCCTACAGATTTAATATATTAAAATAATATTTTGGCAAATAATGTTTACACTCTGAAGACCACTCTTAACTTTGAATGAGCACTGCAAGAGATAGCCATGTGCCTTGGTGCTGAATATTTGTTTCCTTGTTCAAGGTTAAGACCATGTTCCTTCCTACTATGTGACATCAAAGCAATCCCACTCCTGAACTTAAAATGACAAGGAACAGTGCTGCAGAGACAGAAGTTATCCGAGCCTTTACCAGCTAATAAATCAGCTGTCAGAAACACCAGACTCGAGTAGTGTGGGAGAGACACCTTGTATTTTATAGAAAGTAGATGGGAGCTGGAGACATCTGTCACATATTATTTGGATCATCACAGCATAGTGATCACAATGCCTGTTTTTTTTATTTTAAATTATTTTACTATTGAAGACAAAATTGAAAACAATAACATTGTTTTTTGTTTTATTTTTGAGTATTTTTTTTTAACATCAACAAATTAAGCTACACTGGTGAAATAGTTCTTCTTTCTTGATAATTTCATTTATTCCTACATTTCGTTCTCCTAATATGTGATTTATTGTCAGTCTATATCTTAAAAAGAGAAAGTGAACTTTACATAATAATAATTGTATGATTTTATTGAAATCAGTTTTTGCTGAAAATGACATTAAACTAGACTTGTACATGGGAGAAAAATGTGGTTCATCTCAATCGATTTGTGCAGTCAAAATAAATTTTGTTCATGGCAGAACTATTCATTTGAATCTTTTCATCCAGAAAAAAAATAGTACAGGTATTTTGAAATGTGTTCAAATGGCATTTCACTGTGGATGAACTTTGTCCGTGCAAACTATTCAGGAAAATATTTCAGACAAACCAAAAGAGTGTGAAAATGGGCAAATTGTTTACTTCAAAATATAAATATTCTGTATAAATTATGCAGTACACTGATAAATTCATTTTCACGTCATTTGGATCACAGATCAAGTGAGGAAAAGTAAATTATATATTTATTAAATGTATAATATATATCCAGGCTTGGCCTGGCACCCACTTTCCCATCTGGCACTTGCCTCGGTGCACACTTTATGCCTTAGAATATTTCTCCAGAAAAGTGCTCTCAGAGGACTTCATTGTGCTAACAATAATCTTTATTGTGTAATAGTGGCACACATTCCAGTCAGGAATGATAAAAGTTCATATAGTACTGCAATGTTAACCGGAATGTGTACCACTATTACACAATAAAGATTATTGTTAGCACCTTTTCTGGATAAATACATAATACATATGGATTTTTTTACTGCTTCTTTTCTTTTTCCCCTCTATTGATTACTTCTAACTTGATCTGTGAATTAAATCAACAATTTGTGGCTGCCCCTAACTAAATATCATCTTTTTTCCCATCATTTTGCTCTGTGATTCGTCCATATGAGTTTGGAATTTAGAGTCGCTAAATGCCCAGAATTGGCTGCAGGAGCATTGTGTGCTGTGCATTTTGGCGAGAGTCCTGCTGCAAGATACTCATGCAGCCTGTCAGGCCCTGTAGGTCTTTGCGGATTTGAGCCATGTTGGCCTGTATGGCAAGCAGTAAGCCAGCAGTTCTTTCATGACCACCGTGGTCACTGGGGATGAGTCTGGCTTTGGGGGAGTCAGGAGAGAGGCCTGTAAGGTGGGTTGGTGTTCCATCTCTGCACCAGGTGTAAAGTCATCCGAGATATTGCAGCAATCGTTGGCAGCAATCATTTGGACTTATGGCACTGGGCACTTATCTCTAGAGATCGTTAATGTTCATGCTCTGCCGTGGCTTATTGGGTTGGGGTTTTTTCAGCTTTCGAACCATCTTGCAGACAGCAGCCTGGGGATCCATTTAATACCTTATATGTGATATTTGGGCTGTGTAAGAGGGGCAAAAGTGGCTGTTTGGTGCAGAGCTCAGTCAACATCGGCACTTGTATAAATGTACCTTGTTACACCCCCAACTACTAATTAAACAACTAGAACTTTTGCTTCTTGGTAGTTGAACTCGGTGGGGCTAAACTCAAGAGGCAGCAATTGCTAAGAGCAAGTGCCCTGCAAAGGCTTTTGATTTGCTGCAATGGGAAGTCTGTGATTGGACAGCCACAGAAAGTCTGGGCTAGGGAAAGTAGACAAGATAGACAAGATATTTGCAGCTTTTGCATGCTGTTTTTAGATATATCCACAATAAACAAAAATGAATAATTAAATGCATACATATTTTCATTGGGGTGTATCTACTAAAATGTGATTTTTATTTATTGTATGTATTTGGGCATTAGAGTGCCCCTTTAAGTTTTGACATGCAAATGGACACTATGACATACTTATTAAGTACAGGTAAGCCAAGTATTTTCCATTCTTTTTCTATGAGGTTCCTTTGTTGGTCTATAGTGTTTAATTCCCACCAAATAATATATTTGAGCAGCTCCAAGTCATTGTAATTCTCATTGCAAGGTATTGCAAGGTAATTTTTTCCATGTAACCTTGACAGTTGTTACTTTTATTGCGTGTAAGTTCTCCACAGTTATTTCTTCTTCATCATCCTGGTAGCCTTCACAAAAATTGATGTGAGCAACAATGTTCTCTTTGGACAGCAGTGGCTTCCACTATGTTTTCTTCTTATCCAACCCACACTTATTTAATTTTATGGTGGACTTATGGACAGTGACAATAACTTAGACCCTTATCCACCATTAACTTATTTTAGTGATCCCTGATATACTTTATTATTGCTTTTGGAGTGATTTCTGTGGAAAAGACTCTTGGGATGGGAAAACAGTTCAATGTTGGATTTTTGGTGTATACTATTTGGATTTGCATGGATTGAATGTGGCCAAAAATCGATAGCAATGAGTTCACAGCCTATGTGACTGTTCAAAATAAATATAGTTGCTTGTTGCCATAAATATAACAATGCATGAGGTTTACAATTTGCATTGGATCTTTAGTTCTTGAAAAATATGGGAATACATTAATGTATATGGATTTACTCAAATAGCTGAAAAATTTGACCATAAGTCTAAATGTAACTCAACATGACTTATACGGTGCCATAAGAAAAAAGTTAAAAATTAGCAGTAAGGTCATAATGTTTGCATATGGCATGTGTTTTGTGTGTAAAAATCTACAAATAACAATGAAATTATAATAAATGCTGAAATTCATATGCAGAAAAATATTTTATTTTCATTGTTTTCAGATACGTTCAAATATAAACCATAACTAATTTATTCTCCCATTGTTTTCTCATTCAATATTAATATACTAGATATGTCTGGGAATCACTTCCCACTCCTAGGATGTTGCTATCGAACCAACTACATGTATCTTCCCTATGCCATCGTTCATCCCAGGAATGTGAATTGCATCACATATAAAATCAGCAAGCATCAAGGAGAGAAAATAAGAGAGAACCATAAATAAATAAATAGATAGTACATTGCATCAATTTATTTCTCATCAGAGGAAAAGTGCTCCACAAAACCGTCGCAGTAGCATGCAAAGAGAAGATAAAAATGATGGGACATTCGTATAAGATATGCATCAAAATGAATGCCATAAGCATGCATTCCTTATCAATCACTGCTCATTTTTTGGATATATTATACATTATGTTAGAAGAATGACTATATAAGAGATTTGAATCATTTATATTAATTTCAATTTCAATTGCAATGCTACATTTACCAATGTTAATACTATAACTACTACTAAATATATTATTAAAAACAATTTAAAACATAAGATACATTTAAAATATGTGTTACAAAACTGTCTGTATATGGATTACAATTATTTTCCCTCCATTCGTCTGTTTGTTAGATTTATTTCCCTGCCTGTACAGTCCCTATGTGTTCCCCTGTTTAACTACTGAAAGCCGCACGAAGGCGCAACCACTGGGAAGCTGGCCAGTGCCTCCAATTGATCTCCCTGCAGCTAGCGTGTGCCGTCAATTGACCACCCAGTAGCGGTTAATCGCAGCTTAATTGACTGTTCCTGGGTGGTCGCGGTTACACCTAGCTGCCACACGATGGCGGTGTTCTACAGTCTCCAGCACAACCAGCAGTGCTCAGCCCGGACTCAGTGAGCAGAAAGCGGACACTTTCACTCACCAAACACCGCTGAACCTTCAGCCTTCCTTGATTCCCGCACCAGTTATTCAACTGAACGCTGGCTTTCTGGACTTTGTATTATATGAATAAGGGTACCCAGATAGCATGCCATGGAGCCTGTGCGTGTAATTAAAGACTTTGGCTCCATGGCAATTAAACTGTATTTGTGTGGTCTAAGCACTATTCTGTATTAATGTGCGCTCAGACCTGAGCTATCTGGGGATATGTTACATGTGTATAATTGTTGCATTATTGGTCACATTGCATATTTAATTGCATTTTTCTGTATCATTGTCCCCACGTGTGTAATGGAGATTTGCCTCAGTCCTGGGATTGAGTTACTTCCCAATTATCTCCCGGACAGAGAGGGAGGAGTTGTGGTGCATTGTGGGGATATTTTTTATCTGTGTAACAGGATTTGCTACATGTCTGTGCCTTGTCACAGTCTCCCAACTGGTCCCCTAGGGGAGTGTCCACCAGGGATGAGACCTGCATAAATACTGGGCAGGTAGCCCTCAATAAACCAGAAGCCTGTTTTATCTTCAATATGGAGCTTGGTCTCGTGATTGGGGGGATTTACTGTACGCGGTTAGAGACTGATTGCTGGGAATGTAAGTCACTTGGATGCTGTGTCTGCTTGTCTGTTAGCAGCGATTCGTGGGATTACCGTTCAGGAGTTTGGAGTGCTACTGGGTATACTGTTTGGGAGTTTGGAGCATTCCTCTGGTTCCAGTTCAGGAGTTTGGGGTTCTACAGTAGCTGTGTCTGTACCTCCACAAAAGGGAAGCTCTACTAAATGGTGGTTTAATCCCTTTATGTCGGGAGAACCGTAACAAAATGTTTTTTTTTTTTATGTCCTTCTTTTGTCATTCTTTGCTGTCCCTGGTATCCTTGTTTTATCATTTTGATAGACATATATATTCTATATAATTTATTAACTTATTTAACCTGATGAAACTTTGAATCATAATATTTTTGCTGAGTAATCAGAACGGACCATCTGCTTTTGAATTTGAAGCTGAATAAGACCCCTAGTAGAAAGAGAGTGCTCTACAAAGCTGTAGCGCTAACATGCAAAAAGACGATAACATGTAGAAGAAACTGCATGGGTTAAAATGTATCCCATAAGCATGCATTCATTATCAATGCTCATTTTTAGGATGGAAGATATATTATGTTAGAAGAATAACTATACAAGAGATGTGAATCATTTCAATTCATTTCAATTTAAATTGCAATGCTACGTCTATCAATTTTAAGTTTATAATTCCTACTAAAAATAATATTATGAAACACAATATAAAACAGGAGATAAATATAACAATTAGACTTAAAGTAGTTTTACAGTTTTTTTTGTCTGTGTTTTTATCTTTGCAATCTGGTATCCTTGTTTTATGAATTGGATATACTGTTGCAGTATATATATTCCATTAAATGTATCAATTCATTTAACTACGCTGATGAAATAAATGCAGAATAATAATGTTTCTGCTGAGTAATCAGATCGGACCATCTGCTTTTGAATTGGGAGCTGAATGAGAAAACTAATAAAGCAAATATAAAGCTGTCAAGGTTTATAATATTCAAACACTAACGTGCGTACATTGAAACTGTGAAAGGAAATTGCCTAGGTCTAAGATTCTTACATCCTCCTGGATAGAACATTGGACTAATAATAGTATGGAATACTGAAAACCCCAAAACATATGGCACAATAATTTTAATTAGCAATCTAATTTGACAGTTGTGTGCTTGAGGTTCCAATTATACATACATAGTTTGACCATTCAATAGCATCCTGACTAGTTGTACGGTATTTGACCTTTTTAAGAAAACTGATCAACACATTGATTAACCTGAGGGGGCAGGATGTAAATTATATGTATTCTATTCTACAGCATGTTTTTCACAGTCTTGCACCTCACCAAATTAATGACTAAGACAAATAAGATCAAAAAACTAAAAAATCTAGTCACCTATACGACACAGTATTTTAACTCAGCTCATTGCCTAGCACAGAAGTATTCAACATGTGGCACTCCAGATGTTGTGGACCTCATCTCCCTTGATGTTTTGCCAGCATTGTGGCTGTAAGAGCATTATGGGAGATGTAGTCCACAAAATCTGTAGAACCAAAGGTTGCCTATTAGTGGCCTAGCATATTGCCAAACATTTCAGCAAATTTAAAATAATCAACCATATTAATTCTAAATGAAAATAAATGATAAAAAGTGCAACTGGAAAGTAAAGTGCACTGAAGTACTAGAAACACTTATTAATGGACATACAAAATACTAAAGTTTTTGGCCATTTTTCAAAACATCATGCCCTTATATGTTTGGTTTTTTTTGTTAGATTTTTTCACTTTGTAGGTATGGTCTCTGTATCTTATCCGCAACTTCATTTTGGCCACATCTTGTATATTCAGTAATACAGATTGCTAAAATTATTATAATAAAAACAAGTTCTTTATTTAACCAAATGGTTATATTACAAGTAGGAAGAAAAGCACAATAACTAACATGTTTTGCATCTATTACTGCTTACTCATGTAATATATGTATATATATGAATGAAGTGACAGAGTTAATAAAAAAATAGACGTATTAAAACAAAAGCTTGTGCTCATACATGTGTTAACAGAGAGCTCTACAGACATAATACCAGGGATTTCCCCAGCCAAACCTGATTTCTCAAAGTCATTAAAAGGCCACCACTTATGAGACTGGAGAAGAACTCCACTGCTTACATTATCCAATAGCTCTACTGAAAGAGTAGATTATATAATTAGACAGGATGTGCCTCATTTATCAGGTGGGCAGGTATCTCTTAATAACCCTAACAACTATGTATGCTTCAAGATGTTGAGAACAAAGTAAGGTTGCCTTTTGGTTCTTGATCTTAGTAACTCGGTTATTTGTTAACACAATTTATGTTTACTGGTTGTTTGACAGCCAGCCTATAATGTTAGTTCTGTTTTGAAAACTCAACTACTATTCAATATCAAACCAGCATCACAATTACCTGAGGACCACTTGGTTGGTGCAAGACAGCTTACTATAGGCTTTTTACATGTACTTGAGTAGCTACATTTTCCCCTTACTTGGCTATTTGGGAATAGCACAAGAATGACCTTCCAGGAAGCAGACATCTTCAATAAGTTCTCAGTAAGATCAGTTCTAAGATCTGACCCTAGTGGATAGACCCATATGTTTTAATACTTGCAACTATTTCAAAAATGCTTTAACCATTCTGTTAGTAAAAGAACCCTGTGGCATATTTTTTTTCATCTCTTCAAACAAATGTATTTCTATAATAATTTATTTGCAACTGGTGTACATGGTAGAACCACTGCAAATCAAATGTGGTCACAGGAAATCTATTTCTTGGAAATGTGCAGCTGTTCTTTCAAGTATCAACTGTATTCAAAAACTGAGCAATTCAATATTCAATTCGTTATGTAGGTTTTGTGATAAATTCAGCAAGGTCAGGCTTGTTTTTAAACTTCAGTTCCCTTCATGTCTTTAGATTTCACACGTTAACGTGTGTCAGATGTGTACTCCAGAACAGTTTTCTCTAGGCCAAAGCTTTGTGTTTGTAAAATGCTTCCCTTGATTTAACTTTCTTAGAACATACAATAACATTATTTGCTGCAATGTTCTCTTTGATGTTACAGTTTAAGTTACTGCATTCTGTTTGATGTAAGGTGAATTTCTATCTTTTTACAATAGTATAAATTATGTAAGGTAATTTTAAAAGGTAGTATATTATGAGCATAGCAAACTTGAAAAAATAAAAAATCTACTGTATTACTAGTTACTAAACATTTGTGAAGAACTGAATGTGTCGTTTATATATACTTTATTGAGCTGTATTGCAATTACTGATGTTAAAGAAAGAAAATATAATGGGAGGATGAGAGATAATGTCAAGTTCAGTAACTAATTATATAAAAATCTGTGTGTCAAAAATTTACACACACTTTATGTATATATATACTGTGTGTAAATTTAAAGGGACACTATAGTCACCTGAACAACTTTAGCTTAATTAAGCAGTTTTGGTGTATAGAACATGCCCCTGCAGCCTCACTGCTCAATCCTCTGCCATTTAGGAGTAAAATCCCTTTGTTTATGAACCCTAGTCACACCCCCCTGCATGTGACTTGCACAACCTTCCATAAACACTTCCTGTAAAGAGAGCCCTATTTAGGCTTTCTTTATTGCAAGTTCTGTTTAATTAAGATTTTCTTATCACCTGCTATGTTAAAAGCTTGCTAGACCCTGCAAGAGCCTTCTGTATGTGATTAAAGTTCAAGTTAGAGATTGAGATACAATTATTTAAGGTAAATTACATCTGTTTGTAAGTGAAACCAGTTTTTTTTTTAATTCAGGCTCTGTCAGTCATAGCCAGGGGAGTTGTGGCTAGGGCTGCATAAACAGAAACAAAGTGATTTAACTCCTAAATGACAGTGAATTGAGCAGTGAAATTGCAGGGGAATGATCTATACACTAAAACTGCTTTATTTAGCATAGGTGACTATGGTGTTCCTTTAAGGTCCATATATATGTACATGGACCTTTCTGTCTGTCTCTTTATCTGTCTTATCTGTCTATGTCAGCATATATATTATATACAGACACTCCTCACTTACCGACCGGGTTCCGTTCTTACGACCTGATTGTAAAACAAATTGGTTGGTAAGTGAGGATGAACTGCAGAGCATGCGCCCCAGTGCAGGTCTATGTTTGGGTAAATTATCCAGAACATAGATAAGCGCAGCAGAGCAGGGAATCCATCAAATCTATGTTTGGGGAACATTCCAGAACATAGAATAGATGGATTACCTGCTCTGGTGCATTTTTCTATGTTCGGAAAAATTTCACTGAACATAGATTAGAGGGATTTCCTGTTCTGGTGCGCTTGTCTATGTTCGGAGATATTTACTAGACATACGCATCAGAGCAGGGGATCCCTCTAATCTGTGTTCGGGGAAATTACCCAAACATAGACCAGCTCTTTAACGTGGGGAATCCATTGAAACCCCATGCTAAAGAGCTGGTCATAAGTGCAAGTCGTAGTAAAACAGGTAGGTCATAAAGTGAGGACCACCTGTATATATATATATATATATATAGTATAGAAGTGTAGATTGGATTAGCCGTATTAGTCCAGTAGACAAGATGCCAAAATATCAGAGCACTGCAGTATGCAATGATACCTTTTTTATTGGACTAATATAATATTTCAAACATAAGCTTCCGAGAGATTTCCTCTCTTCTTCAGGTCTGAAGCAATAATGATCAATCTGATAGAGTTTAGAGAAGGGGAGGGAGTGGGAGGTGACCGGGGTGTCATAAATAGCAGAAGATGTGTCTGAAAGTGAAAAGTGCAGGTTGGCTGAGAATAGCCAGAAAAGTAAATAAACAGAGGAGAGTCAATAAGCAAGTTGAAAATAAACAAAAACAAGAAAACAGCAGAGCAGGGCATGCAAGTATAGCTGCATATATGTATGTATATAAATTGATCCAATAAAGGTGAAGCGAGAATATTGAAAAATAACTAAATAAGACATGATCTGTTTATTTAAAGTTTTGGTAGTGTGAGAGAAAGCCAGAATCTACATTAAGTCCTTAATTTCTGGAGTTGAAATGTGTGATCATTTTCATCTTAAATGTCTTTCGTTCATGAGAGTCTTTGAAATTCCATTTAAGAACGTTAATCCTGACGTTTTGGATGGACTGAACAGTCTGGGTGAAGTGATGACCAACAGGGGTACAATATCTATTTTCCTTGTGGTTCTTGATTGAGTATCTGTGTAGATTCATTCTGAGATGCAGCTTAAGGCCAGTTTCTCCAATATAGCAACCTTTGTCACACACTGTACACTGCATCATGTACACCACATTCGCAGATGTGCACGAATATGATCCCTTAAGGATGTGTAATTTATTATTGTGTCTGGCTGTGTTATTACCACAAATATGTTGACATGGTTTGCAGAGTGATTTGTTGCATCATACAGTGCCATTCTGTATGAGCTCCTGTTCTGTGGTCAATTTGCTACGGACCAATCTCTGTCTCAGGTTAGGTGGTTGTTTTAATGCTAGTATGAGGGGTTTATGAAATATTTATTTGAGTGTGGGGTTCTCTGAAATTAATGGTTGTAGCTCTTTAATAATTTTACCTACTCCTTCTAGAGTTGGGTTGAATGTAACTACTAAAAGGATTCTTGTTTTGTTTTAATTTCCTTTCTTTGTAGGAGCCTTTCCCATTGTGTTTTTAGGGCAGATTTTATTTTATTGATCTTGTAGAAACTTATAGACAGAAAACACTTAAACAGTCATACCTCTCAGTGGTTTTTGGTGGAGGTGGTATTGGAGGGAAACTCATAGGATGCATGTATATTATAACGCATACCCTATGCTAATCTCTCAACAAAATATACTTGTTATAATTAGTAACATGGCAAAGCTTAAACAACAGAAATTATATTGATCCTGCTACTTGCGTTTAAACATATTGGGCATCTCCTGTAACTTCTATTCTAACAAAAAGTATAGCAAAGTTATAATGTGACAATATCATCAGGAAAACTACCTGTAAACTAAAATAAATATTTTACATTGATTTATTTGCAAATAAAATATATCTATTTAAATTGAAATTTCAAGTCTCTAAATAATATTTACAAACATAAACTTTTATGTAAAATCAATTGTTAACAATTACACTATGCTCTTTTGTTCTTTTACGTACAAATTAATAAGGTTATTTTCAGTTTTAGAGTGGATGTATGTGATATTATTTTTATTTTGTATTTAATGTTGTATTGAGCAGTTAAGCATAAAGTAAAATAATAAATCTAAAGTAAGTGAACAATGCTGTTTTAGGGCAAGATAAGGTAAATTGTTAATGTGCAGTATTACATTTCCTATATTTTAAGAATTAGAAACAAGCTTAGATGTAGTAAAACCTCTATATTTTTTTTAATTTATTTATAATTATTAATTGAACAATATATTTAAGTTGGACAAATAATCTACAACAGCAGCAAACCTCTTGGATCATTGGCAGGATAGTATTAGCAAAGCAGCCTGAATTCAACACAAATATTATTTTTATTGTGTAATAGGGCATAACAAAGAAAAGTAAAAAATGTAAAATGGGTGGGGGGCCACCCTGATGCATTTTGTGCAAAAATATTTATTTAAACTTTTAAACATTTCATAAAGGTCCTTTTGCATGAAATACAGCAGTTTAATTGTCCAATCCAGTACTTCCGTATAAATATCTTCATTGTGACTTGGGTACAATAAATGTTTTTTAACTCACATTTACATAAGATCCATACTACTTTGCTCATGACTGCCTTCCAGAGGTCTAGAATGGTCTGACCCAAGCTCCTCAGGTATATATAATCAAGTTTTATAGCCAGGTAGTTGACAGCTTACAAACATATGATTTTTGGAAAAATAATCTCGTATTCAGTATTTGGTTAATTTGTGTCCAAATGGTCTATTTGTTGCCAACTGATTCTCAACTCACTCCTCGCTCTTAACTCATATACACCTTTTGAATTAAGCAATTCAAGCTATTGAAATATGCTACTCTTATTAATTGTGAATTTGCTATTTATCTAGGTACAAAAATAAACACTTGAATAAATGGTATGTATTTCTAAATAAAACTATTAAAACCATATTTTTTTTAAAGAAATTGGACTCTTAAATCTCCACATAGGTAATTAACAGAGTCTATTGCATTAAAAATAACTATTGTATAGAGGTTATTCATCAAAGTGCTAGTCAGGTTTTAGTCAGTAAAAATGTTCATGGAGAAATGTTATATCATTTTCACGACCAGCTATTTCTTTATATAAAGGTACATTTTCAATGACACGATTCATCCTTTATCCTTTAACATCAATGTGTCAAGGTACTTTACATGTATTTAATGTCTTGAACATTATCTTCTCATTGGGGAAAAGGGAATCAGAGAAGTTAATCAACACACATTTTAGAATTAGATATAAAAATATGACTATGTATCTAACCTCAAATTTATGTGTACTTAAACTTTAAAGACTGTGAATTAAGTTATAGAAAGTCACTTTGTAAAACAAATATATATATATATTTTTAATCCATTACTTTTCATTTCCACAAAAAAATAAAAAAACACAATCATAATTTTATGTATTTTGCATTTTCCAAGTGTAAATGCTGATACAATTTTAATATTAAATTGCAATAATAAAAACAAAAGCTATAACTTTGTCCCTGCAGTTGAAAATATTATTAGCTGTAAAAATAACAAACAGTGCAATAGCTAGCAATATTCAATTTCATTTTTCATGCTGAAACATAAAATGTAATAACCTGTCACTTTAATGTTACAAATATCATTCTCGTTAAAATTAATTTTAATATTATCTAATATGCCGGGTAAAAAAAGCCTGCACTAGAACAATATTTTTAGCTAAACTATTAAGATGCTAGGAAGTAACAAAAATCTATTTCTATACCCAACCGATGAATCTTGGAGTTTTATAAAGGTCAGTTGATACTGTCAGAAGCTTGCTTCTCAGGCTAAAATAAACATGTTGCTTTGAGAAAACATTATTGGAACAAGACAACATGCATGTGTAATGCTTCAGGGAAGAGCGTATATGTCTTACATAGAACAGTTGGGAATGGGCTTGTGATAAAGAAGGCTAAAAGTCATTCTGGATATATGGCTTTAAGGCATCTCTTATGCAGTAGTTCAAATATAAAAGCTGTTATGAGGAACCTTTACTAAGTGTTATTATTGTCCGGGTATTATAATTAGGTTTCTGTAACAAGCAAACATGGTGTCATTTCTCTCACTGAAAGTAAGTGAATATATGAAATTATCTATGAGATTTTATCTATCATGTGATCAGTGCCATAATTGAAATCTTGTATTAAATTTAATAAGTGCACATACAAGAATCACATTGTATTATTCACGTAGACTCACTGTCCTATTGCCTAGGTACCAGCGATTTATAAAGAGGCAAAATTATATTTTCATCCCGAGAATTTATGCCCCTATTTATACATGACAAAATCTTACTGGCCTTAGCAACTGCAGATTGACATTGCATATTGCTGCCTAATTTGTTGTCTATAACAATTCCCAAAAGCTTCTCGTGTGTGGTTATCCCTAATTCACTACCATTTAGTGTGTAAGTTGCTTATGCATTCTTAACCCTGAAGTGCATAACTTTGCATTTCTCTATGTTAAATTTCATCTGCCATTTATATACATACTCAAGAAAGTAAAAGCCTTTCATGAAAAAATTATATTAAAATAAAGATTGTAAAAAACAAAAAAAGAACATGTATTCCAAATTGTCCTGCAAAATAATTTAAAATGAAAGTAGTTTAAGAAACTCCTAATCCTAATCTGTCTGTCTGTCTATTTATCTATCTATCTGTCTATCATCGATCTATCCATCCATGTGTATGTTTGACTTTCTGTCCTTCTACCTGTCCAAACATCCATCTTTATATGATTTAAAATCCCTTTAATCATACACATTGAGAGAAATAGGCAATGTTAGCCATTACTCTCCAAATGCACACCAAGTACAGAGATATTCTTCTTCTTTTTAATTAAATATGTTGCTTGAAACCTTGCAAAAATAATGGAAAATTATAATCTAAAATCCCAGACTGGAAAAGTACTACAGTTATTTTTTTTACATATTGCAGTTATTGAAAGCTATCTTATGCATACATCATATTCCACATTTAAAATATATAAAAGTTAGAAATACATATACATGTTTGTCGAATTCATAGACATATGTTTACATAAAATGGCATTTAAAGCATACATTTTTAAATAGCATAAAAGTGTATCATTTTTAATTGAACAGATATTTAAAATTAGATGAACTATATTCTACGCTCAAAATCGATCATTGCATAACCTTTCTAAGCATGGTATGTGCCATGTGGCATGTAAGATTATATTATATTAATGATATAACATACTCTTTCATTTCATTTAAGATCCCCAGATAGTATCAGGAGTGTAAAAAATGTAGGTCACCAGTTGGATAACAATACTCTGCAGCATGAGTTTCCAACAATGTCCTTCTAGTGTTTTTGGAATATAATCCCCAATTACCATATACATCCCCATTAGAGCTATGGTAATGTTAAATTAACAACAGTTGGAAGATGCAAGTCTACTCTACAGTTAAACAAATACAGCAAAAAGAAAATCCCTTTTTTTATTATTCCTGTTTAGAATCAATAATTGTAATGAAAGCAGCTATTATTATTGTGACTGTAACCCTTATGACTGAATTGAAAATAGTAGCTTTTTTATCAGTTTGTAAACAATGTGCATAGCTGTACATTCACAATGTTCACCAGAGTTTGCATTAACCATTGACATTGGTAGGTTTGTTGCAAAACAGACATATTAAGGGGTATTTCCGCTGCTCCATTTTTAGTTTAGAATAGCCAGTCTGGATAAACATCTCCAGTCAAGCCAACCTGGACATGCATATCCATATATGTTTGCTTTGCATTTTCTTTTGTTTTAGCAATTACAGAGGAACAACATGTCAATATTAAAATTGAATTGTGTAAGTGTCTTACCTTCATAAAATATTTTGAAGCCATGAGCACTAACAGCAAAATCACTTGTCAAACGCAATGAAAATACAGGTCCTGTACTCATTACGGGAGTAGGAAGATGAAATCCTGTTAACCTGAAACACAACAAAAAAATATCCATATTTACTATATGTATGCATGTCATCAACAAAAAATTGCTCGATCTTCCAGTTCTTAAACATTTAAACCTTTCAATGTAATAAAAAAAAGTAGAATCACAAATAATTTCAGGTTTGCACATGATTTCTATTATGTATATTATTTTCTAATCTTGTTTGTAATGTATATTTTAATGTTTACATTTAAAAAGCTCTTTTAAACAATTTTAAATTTGTTATTGCAAACATCCTAACAGACCTAATATCTCAAACCAGTGAAACTGCTGAACACAGCAGATGCAATTTATCATTTTTTTTTCCAGTCCATTTATCATGCTTTAATTATTTGTTCCCTCCTTTAAGTTTATTTACAGACTATTTATCAAACATTAAGCCAATTGCTTGATTAGTGCAATTTGAGATAGCATAAAAAACGAGATAAATTGCAAAGTTAAACAATACAATTCAATTGATACCAAGACCTCAACATTAATCACAATATTTAAGATCAATACAATAGAATCCCATTTCTAAATGCATTGTTTGTAAAAGAAAAAGTTCATGCTATAGACTGGTATATATGCACATTCTTTCAACTTGGTTTATAGTGTACAACAGAGTTTCAAAACCAATATTTAAACTTATATATGTACAGTACCGGAGCTTCCTTTATGCTAATCAGGCAGCTGCCTAGTGCATTTTTTAAGGGGGGTGTGCCAACAGCGGCAACCTAGATATAATATATTTGAAGGCTTGGCCTGTAGTTGTGGGAGGGGCTTGAATCCCCTTTAAAAGGGCTGCCAATCAACTCTCACCTTACCGTTGCTGGTCCGGCGAGTCTGAAACGTTTACTTCCGGTTCAGCTCCAACACCGGGCTTAACCGTAAGTCTGACCCCGCCGTAAAGCAACAGCTGCAACATTGCTACCTTTCACGGCGGGGCTCCGTTCGTTTAAACCTAGTGTTCGGTTTTCTTTCATGTATTGCAAAATGCTCAAGCTGTTTGGATAATTCCAGCACCATATCCACCTATGCATTGCATGTTCACTTAGTTTATTTATACGAACGCGACCGTTTGTTCACTTTCTACTGTATTAGCACTTAGAGGACGCATTCATTCGTATGATACAGCTGTTCATGCATTTCTTCTCCTATCGGTAATTACGGGCAAATTCACGATATAGGCACGAATTTCACCTAATTCGTTATTATACTTCCGCCCCTGCTGCTAACAAATGATACTACAGTCCTTAAAAAATTCATTTAAAATATAATTGATGAAATCTGAATGTTAGAAACTAATATTCCTGACCTTTTTCCACAGGAAAAAAAATTACGGATTCAAAACTTGTGATGTCAAATTGTGTTTTCTAGGTTGGTGAAAGTTTTGATTATTATAAATTATGCTTTTAGACGAGTTATACGTGTTAAATTAGTAAGCATGTAAATTATTCTTCTAGGTTCCTGAATTTCATACTGTAGCTTTTTACAAGCACAAGGAAAACCATCATCATCCTCTGTTTAATTACTACCCCCTGCATAGTATCTGGTAGGTTCTTTTTGATTTCGGGCCCACGATCTGGCCAGCTAATATCACAGGCACAGATGATTATATATTAATTTTCATGTCCATAGGTTGCATCACGATACTATTACAACCGCTATTTATCTCGACATTGACAGCTCGTCCTGACTCACATATCAGGTACTCTGCCAGAACCCAGTACTTTTCTAGTTTTAGAGTGGTACTGGTCTAGGTTATGTAGCCCAAATAGGAATAATCTTCTGGTCTTAATCCATAGGCTAGTGGTCCCACGAGGCCAACACCCTCATCCTCATACTCAGAGGTATACGTCCCTCGGGCCAAATCATAGCTAGCCACCTCGCACGGTCGCATAGAGAGGGCCTCACCTGTTACTCCCATTCTATCTTATGCTTTAATTGCCACCAAGAGGCCAACACCCCGCCAAAACGTTCGGTGGCCTCATACTTCCCCCTCAGGCCCACGCATAGATAGTGCCTCTCAGGCCACTTGGCAATTAGCAGGGACTCATCTGTCACTATCACAAAGTATAATTGTTTCACTGCTTGGTATCTAGCTAGCCTCACCAGTACCCACCCAATTCATTACAGAATGATTGATTAAGCTACTTTATATTTTTCAGTTGTGTCACAAACTCCTGATATCTCTGAGGAACTTTCGTTACCCAGCACGCCCGCTAGGCCTGGTACCCCTGCTCCTGTAACGGATGTTAATAGTCCTTCGTCCCTAAGATCATGGACCATGCCACGTCTTACTGCAGAACTAAGAAGATGCTGCATCTACTGCTAGGAAAGCGGAGTTGTTCAGATTACTAAACACTACTACTGACAACTCTGATGCAGGGGAAGGCCCTAGTGGGACTCAGTTGCCAGCTTTTCACACTATGATGACTTCACTTATGTCATCCATCAGCACAATAAGTGATAGACTGGATAAATTGGAATCAGGTGGTGCCAATCAGACCACTGCAAATCCAGCAGTAACCAGTCACCCACTTGCTGATATTGTGCCCGGTAATACCTTGGAATCGATTTCAGTTACTGAATCAATTAACCCCTCGCATATGGTCCCATTTCACCTTAAAAAGGACATTCTGGAGGGCAAGGATGTAAACCTGGTTTCATTGCTCATTGCCTCCCAGGATGCTAGAGAACAGGACCTTTGCATACGGGGATATCTCAGTGGTTCTAAGAGCAAGAGACCCCAGGCTGAACAAGAAATTGTCCATCCTTGAATTTGTGCTGGGTTTTGGAATTTATAGAGATGTCTACTGCTCAGTTTAACCGCCTAAAAGAGCAGAGTTGGATGCATACATGCACAAGATGGTGGATCTGGGGCACAAATACCGTGGTACCGCTTTTTACGATTACCACCGTTCCTCTTCTGTAAAGGTGGCTGCGGCTCTGACTCATAAATTGGAGCAAATTGGACACTGAGTTATTCTGCAGGCACTTTGCAGGCCTCAGGCCCCCATCTTGTGCAGTGTGTGCATCTACCACACATAGCACCAATTTCTGCCCAAATACAGCAAAAATTGAACAAGGCCAAACTCCATCTAATTTCCAAAGACCTACTAGAGGCCTAAAAGACACACTGGGTAGAAATATTGTATTTCTAGGCAAATTCCAGATTTGTAACAATTTTAATGTGGGCAATTGTGGTTTCAGCTCTTGCAGGTTGATGTATGTATGTTTCCACTGTTTCAGGGCCCATTCTAAGACAATGTGTCCAAATAAAGCTTTTCCCAAACCGTATCACACGTGTGAACCTCACATTATTGACTACACTGTTACGACAACACCCATCACACCATTTCGTTGACTACCTTATCACGGGACTGACTGAGGGATTTCATACTGGGTTGATACATTTACCTACCAGTACACTGGAATGCGACAACCTACAATTCACATTAGATGATCCGCAGTTGGTACACACACTTATTATGACCGAGGTGACACAAGGGTTTTTGCTGGGCCCATTCTTTTCCCCACCTTTCACATCTTGGAGAACCAACCCCATAGGGGTTGTCACGGGGAAGACTTCACTCAAACCTAGACTGATTATTGATTTGTCTGCACCACATTCCTCCACTGTCCCGATGTCAAGGATCTTACCTGGAGTGGGAGTCCGGCACGCAGAGTTAAAGCACCCTTTGCAATTCGACACAGGCCAAGGGGACTCAGGACAGAAATCCCCAAGGTTGTGACACAGTGCACTGGGGCTGAAATAACCAGTGCTTCCTGGAACGCAGTACAGACAAAGGATATCCAGAAGAGTAGTCAGTATCAGAATCAGAAGTCAGGACAGGCGGCAATCAGGCAAAAACGGTAGACGAGCAGGGGATCAAAACCAGGAGTCAGAAGAATAGCAGTGAAACCAAACATGAACAGGAAACACGATCTGACAACGAGAACCAGCCTTGCGGGGTTTAAATAGGGAGTCTCAGCCAATCATCAAGGAACCAGGAACAGGTGTGCACATTCCAGGCGTACAGGCTCAGACTACAGGATACCAAGAACAACCAGAAACAGTCAAAGATGCGTGGAGCTCAATGCAAGGATACCGACTGGGATGCAGGAAACTCAGGTTTGATCCCAGCCAGACCCAAATACACAATATTGTGTAAAGCACAATGGTGATCCTGACATTACCCCCCCTTCAAAGACGCCGTAGGCGAGAAGAGGAACGCAACTTACGACCCAGGAGGTTACTTTTTGGATTTCTTGGCTTTGGTGGTACTAGTAGGAGCAGAGGTCATAGCTTGTAGGGCCTTTTCAAATACTTGCAAGTCCTCCTTCCGGACTAGAGTCCCATTAGAGGCATAGGTACAGCCAGAAAGAGGGTCTTCCTTGACAGGACTTGTAGTGGTTGTGGTGCTTGCCTTCTTAGAAGCAGAATCTTTAGTAGAAATAGAGAACTCAGGTTCTTTAGTAACAGATTCCTGCACAACCCCAGGAGCAACGACTGTAGAAGGCTGAGGATTGGACAGAGTGGTCAAGCAAGGACAGGCAGCATGTTGGCAGACAGGTCTCATAGGATATGCCAGAGTAGTACCCAGACGGAGAACCCGAGGCCTAGATGGACGAATGGGACAAAAAGATATTAAATGTCCCATCTCCCCACAATAATAACACAGTCCATGCGCCATCCTTCTTGCCCTTTCTTGAGATGACTGACGGAACCTAACCAGTCCAATCTCCATGGGTTCCTCCGCCTCCCTGCCAGATGTATACGATGTTTCGGGAGACTTGGGAGCGGTAGGGTTAGCTTTAACATCAGTCCGAGTGAAAGGAGTAGTGTAGTCCATTTCCAGTCCGGGTTGCAATATGTGTGAAGCAACAGTAGGTGATCTATGTACATATGACTTTTGTGTCTTGTTGACTTGTAAACCCAGGGACCGAATAAAGGACTCCCAGGAATCTAGGACTGGGCTTTTGGCGAGTAACAACTGGTGGGCCCAGATCTTAAGGTGCCCCGACAATAAGGTAATCGCTGTCCTCACTTTAATGACGTCTGTGGCATAGGTAAGTGGTCTCAGGGAGAACAGGACCTCGCAATCAACTTTGAAGGTATCATACTTAGACCGGATCCCAGAAAATTTCTCGGGTAGAGCAACCAGCGGTTCAGAGAGTCCAGAGTCATAGGTTACTCTCCCTTTAAGGGAAGCCAGCTCCTGCTGTAAGCCCTGCAAAGCCTGGGTGAGCTGGGAAACTTGCTGGGTCAAGGCTGCAACGGTAATCTTCAACTCTGCAGACTCCATTTGGTCAGATCGTACTGTCAAGGATCTTACCTGGAGTGGGAGTCCGGCACGCAGAGTTAAAGCACCCTTTGCAATTCGACACAGGCCAAGGGGACTCAGGACAGAAATCCCCAAGGTTGTGACACAGTGCACTGGGGCTGAAATAACCAGTGCTTCCTGGAACGCAGTACAGACAAAGGATATCCAGAAGAGTAGTCAGTATCAGAATCAGAAGTCAGGACAGGCGGCAATCAGGCAAAAACGGTAGACGAGCAGGGGATCAAAACCAGGAGTCAGAAGAATAGCAGTGAAACCAAACATGAACAGGAAACACGATCTGACAACGAGAACCAGCCTTGTGGGGTTTAAATAGGGAGTCTCAGCCAATCATCAAGGAACCAGGAACAGGTGTGCACATTCCAGGCGTACAGGCTCAGACTACAGGATACCAAGAACAACCAGAAACAGTCAAAGATGCGTGGAGCTCAATGCAAGGATACCGACTGGGATGCAGGAAACTCAGGTTTGATCCCAGCCAGACCCAAATACACAATATTGTGTAAAGCACAATGGTGATCCTGACACCCGAGCCTTAATTCACTCATACCTTCCGAAGAATTTTCACTACACTACGCCACTATTGATCATGCCATATGGGCTATTCTTAAAGCTGGCGCATGGGCATGGCTAAGTAAAACTGACGTGGTAAATGCCTTCAAATTACTGCCCATGCACCCTTCCCTATGGCATCTACACGGTATTAAATGGCAGGGGTTGTATTATTTCTTCACCCGTCACTTTTGTCTCCAAAAGCAGCCCACAAATTTTTGACACGTTTGCAGAAGCTTTGTGTTGGTTATTACTTAATGTGTGTAAATGTCCTTCGGTTATTCATTAACTGGATGATTTCCTCATGATTGAGAACAACACACTCCCTCCAAGTAGTTTGAAACACATGTTGTCTTTGTTTGAATCCCTCACTATCCCAGTCTCCCCTCACAAGACTTTGGGTCTGGACACTAGCATGCAATTTATGAGGATCCAACTAGACATGATACACATGCAGGCTAGCCTCCCTCAGTACAAAATGAAGCGTACCCTGGCAAGTATTGAACATTACCTACTTCAAGGTCATTGCAACTGGAAGGAACTGCAATCACTGCTGGGGTCACTCAATTTTGCCATGAGGATCATACCACAAGGTAGATCCTTTATTTCCCACCTACTATCTCTATTTCCACAATTCACCTTAGACACTTCACGCATCACATTAGATTGCCACGCAACCTCTGATTTACACATGTGTTTTTTTTTTCTTACCTCTTGGAACGGGTGAGCCATGTTTATACCACCCCCCTCTGACACTTCAACTACACTGTGGACAGATGCCGCAGCAAATACGGGCTTTGCGGCCATCTGAGGAGATCAATGGCTTTGGGGACAATGGCCGACCGAGGTCGAATAACTGCCAAAATTCTCTGATACCTCAGCTTTATTTGAGTTGTGCCCAATCATGGCGGCGGCCATTGCCTGGGGACCACATTGGTCCAGTCACACGGTTTGGTGTTACTCGGATAATATGGCTACATGCCATATTGTCAATAAAGGCCAGTCGGCATCCCTGGTAATCATGAGACTGCTAAGACGACTCACATGGGTACTCTGTTCCTGTGTGTCCAACTTGTCTGGTTACAACTACATGTCTGTTCGTCCACCCATTGTAAAGCGCTGCGGAATTTGACGGCGCTCTATAAATATCATAATAATAATAATATATATATGATGTGTGCATATATATGTATGTATATATATATACACACACACACACACACACGTATTATATATATATATATATATATATAATATAAATTGAAAAACTTTTTTTAATAAAAATGCTAACTTTGGCCAGCATTTGTGACTAAGTGGCTACTACAAAAGACTGGAAATACCCAGTTTGGAATGCCCTGGGTTATCTACATTTTTATGTATATTGACCCTGTAACTTTCTAAAACACCATAAATCCTGTACATGTGGGGTATTGTCATACTCGGGAGACTTCGCTGAACACAAATAGGAGTGTTTACAACAGTAAAACTTGTCACAACGATGAAATCACCAGTAAAAGTGCAGTTTTTGTGTAAAAAAATTTAAAAAACTAATAAAAATGCTAACTTTGGCCAGGGTTTGTGACTACGTGGCTACTACAAAAAAATGGAAATACCCTATTTGGAATACCCTGGGTTGTCTACATTTGAAAATGGTATGCCATGATGGGGTTATTTCACATTCCTGGGCTACCATATGTTCTCAAAAGGCAACACAGACCCAGCAAACCAATCTGGCAAACTGAATTAGGCAAGCCCTATATTGACCCTGTACCTTTTTAAACCACCATAAAATATGTACATGGGGAGTATTGTTATACTCGGGAGACTTCGCTGAACACAAATATGAATGTTTACAACAGAAAAACATATCACGACGATGAAATCACCAATAAAAGTGCAGTTTTTGTTTTTAAAAAAATGCAGAAAACAAATATGAACGCTTACTTTGGCAAGCGTTTGTGGCTACTACAAAAGACTGGACATACCCCATTTTGAATACCATGGGTTATCTTCTTTTACAAATGGTATGCCATTATGTGGTTAATTTTCATTCCTGGGCTGTTATATGGTCTCAAAGGCAACATAGGCCCAGCAAACCAATCTGGCAAATTTCAATGTGCAAACATTGAAAAGGGGAAAGCCCTACATTTGACCGCTGTGAGTTTACAAAAACACATAAAACCTGTACATGGGCACTGTTGTACTCAGGAGATGTTGATGAACACATATTGGGGTGTTCTTTGTCAGTAACACATAACAGGAACTGAGAATCCATGCCTAAAGTACAATGTGAGAGAAAAATAACACATAAAAATGAATACCCAAAATTTTGACAAAGTCTGGTTGTAGAATTAGTGCATGATAAGTGTTAAAAGTCACCACTTGAAATAACCTAGTGTGTCTACTTTTCAAAAATATATGGTTTGATGGAGGTAAATTACATTGACCAACTTAAAAAATGTCCCAAATAGGACATGGGTGCATGATGACCAGCAGTGAAAATTCCAAGTTGGAAAACTGGAAGGCACACCCTCCAAACAAGGTCTTTTAGTCCACAGAGAACATGGGGGGTATCACTGTACTCAGGAGATGTTGCTGAACACATATTGGGGTGTTCTTTGGCAGTAATTCTCAGTTCTCAGTACATGTATTCTTAAATTGCTATGTGTGTCAAAAAAAAATCACCAATTATTATTTTTTTTTTTAAATTTGGCATAGATTGGTGGTAAAATGGTTTCATGAAAAGAGTCAAAATACCCCAAGTTTTATAACGTAGGTTGTCTTCTTTTAAAAAAAATATATACATGTGAAGGGTTATCCAGGGATTCCTGACAGATATCAGTGTTACTTTTGTTGATTTTGAAAAAAAAAATGGTTTGGAAATAGCAAAGTGCTACTTGTACTTATTGCCCTATAACTTACAAAAAAAGCTAAGAACATGTTAACATTATTATGGGTATTTTTAAACTCAGGACAAAATTTAGAAACTATTTAGCATGGGTGTTTTTGGCGGTTGTAGATGCATTACAGGTTTTGGGGGTCAAACTTAGAAAAAGTGTTTTTTTTTTTTCATCAAGTTTTATAAACAAAATTTTATAGTAAATTATATGATATGATGAAAATAATGGTATCTTTAGAAAGACCATTTAATGGCAAACAGCTGTATACAATATGTGTGGGTACAATAAAGGAGTAAGAGGAAAATTACAGCTAAACACAAACACCACAGAAATGTAAAAACAGAGAGGCGGGGCCAACCGAGCTGCTGAATGGCCGCGATCTGAATTAGCTCCGGCCACGCCAGACACAATCCGACCTAATCGGGCCGCACAAAACAGAGATGGGTCACCCTAAACGAGCCACATCGTCCCAACAAGCCCCCAGCAAAACCCCGTCGGGGAAATCGGGAGCGCTTACCAAATATTTCCGCGACCGGGCGGACAGTAACACCGGCCTGCTAGGCCCCAACATGGCGGCTGACTCCCCGCCTTTATGCATGTCTCCCTCCAGCCCGGCGGACTCATACAACTCGGGCCCCCCAACAGAAGGGGACCTGAAGGAGATCCTGAGGAACTTACCCTCCAAGCAGGATATTGCAGGTATGCTGACCCGGCTGGAAGCCTCAGTCCAGGCCAAGATGGACTCCTTTAGTTCAGAGATCCGCCAGGTCTCTGACCGGGTGGTCATTCTAGAAGATGACAGGGACGCCATACAAACACAATTGAGCTCCCTACAGGCAACAGTGGAACACCAAAATGCTTACCTATCCACGCTCCATAGGTCTATAGATGATCTGGACAATAGGGGGCGCCGCAACAACTTGCGGATTCGGGGTCTCCCAGAATGTGAGCAGGAAGATATTTATGCAACCCTAAATGAACTCTTCAACCTTATATTAGGAAAACCAGGAGACAGCCATATTCTCCTAGACAGAGCACACAGAGCGTTGAAACCCAGAGGTATAGCGACAGACAAACCCAGAGACGTCATCTGCAGACTCCACTACCACACCTGCAGAGAAGACATACTGAACACGCTGAAACAAAATTCACAACCCCTTCTGTTCCACGAAGCTCCAATCACAATCTATCCAGATCTCTCCTGGCTGACACTACAAGCGAGAAGGATTTTGCGCCCCATTACGGATCAACTGAGAGCTAGAAATATAAGATACAGGTGGGGATATCCACTTGCGCTGAGCATCACGCACAAAGGCGCCCAGCACACCATCCACTCCCATGCAGACATTCCTCTCTTTATCCAAACTCTCAATTTAATAGATCCGCACATCCAAGATTGGTATGGACCACTGCAAACACCATTACTCCCTCAGCTGCCACAGAGACCCAGATGGCAACTAACACCCAAGAAAAAGAAAATGGACAACCGAGACCCGATGCAACAGTGATTGGATTCTAGCCCGGAGCAAACGGCATGAACCGCTGTCGGCCCAGGTCCTGGGACCAGCAACCTACAATCCTCTTGAAACCTCAAAGACACCATCTACTAACTGAAACCTGCCTCAGACGACCGCACAATACTGGCCGAAACAGACTTTCTCGTTACACTGCTAGGCTGTAGAAGAGCACGCTTCCTCCCAGCCTCCTGCACACCTCCCGTGATTCAGGTGACTGTATTCACTGTCCGCTGCTTATATATCGCAATAACGCGCTCACTACAGCAGGAAGCAACAATTCCTCACTTACTATCCCCTATTAGACTTATCCAGCCTAATATCTCCCGCTAATGAACCCTTTATACACAACACCACGCCAAGTAACCTTATATAACGGCTTGCAGTGATAACCACCTCCAATGAAGACATGGTTACAGGCCAGACAGCAAGGTTTCTCTAGCACTAATTAACCCCCCAATCTGCGGACCAGGTAACCGGGTTGGCAGAGGACAGCCGTGGCACGGTAAACGAATTCCACCTATTGGCCCACTACACAGGTTAAGAACAACCGTCAACTAAAATATAAAAAAAAAAAAAAGCTCATAGACATTGGCACAGTTTAATATGTTTAAATCCTATTACTGATACACATGCCTGAATGTTTGATGTGTTGTAAATAATGTTAGCGGATTTGTGTTCTGGCGGTGATTGACTGTAAACCAATTCTCCTTCTGCTCCATCAAGAGAGCTTTTGGTCGTATTAGGTCGACACGACCTACACCACGGTGTCACAGAAGCACCCAAGTGGCAAAATCCCACCTTGGGTCCGACACCAGAGGTTCTCCCCTCAGGCTGCCGACGGGCGACTGGCTAGACCTGCGCCTTCCCACAGCCTAGGGGGATAATTATAAATTCAATTTACTTATTGAATATCTGTTTGTATATAAGTTGTTTACTGTGTTTGTATATTTTTTCCCTTCTCCCGTGTTACTCCCTTAATTTCACAACCGGCCCAACCCCCCCATCCCTTCCACCCCACAATGAGCAAGACGGACCCTCCGCAAGGGCCACACACACACTCAGACCCGGTGGCCACTCTAAAGATAGTCACCCTCAATGTGAAAGGCCTCAATACCCCTGAGAAGCGATCCATGACTCTCACGGAAATGCATAAACTCAGAGCAGATGTGGTCTTTATACAAGAGACCCACTTTAAAAAAGGCATAGCCCCTACTCTCAAAAACAGGGCATACCCCACAGGTTTTTTCAGCAACTACAGTGATACCAAGGCCAGGGGGGTGGCCATACTATTTGCCGCACACACCCCCTTCACATACAAAGACCACAAAACGGACGATGGGGGCAGGCTGATCCTGGTGAAAGGCCAGATAGGTCAAAACATGCTTACCTTTGCTAACATATACCTGCCCAATAGACACCAGGGTAAGGCGCTTAAGAAACACCTCCGCATAATTGAATCCTTCATGGAAGGCATGCTAATCCTGGGTGGTGACCTAAACATGTCCTTAGACTCTGCCCTTGACACGACTTCCCAATCCACACACTACCAGACCACTACAAGGAAGCAGGTATCACACCTTCTCGATCAGGCTAGGCTACATGACTGTTGGAGAACCATGCACCCTCAAACTAGAGACTACTCCTTCTACTCTACAGCTTCGGGCACATACTCTACGCTGGACATGCTATTTCTTCCCCAGGACTACCTACACCTGGCCACCTCCTGCACCTACGGCCCGATCACCTGGTCGGATCACGCACCCCTGTCTCTTGCCGTACAAATCCCTACACTCCCGCTAACATCTTTTCATTGGAAACTTAATGATTTCCTACTCAATGACCCCGCCATTACATCGCGAGTGGAAATCACTCTCGCTAACTACTTCCAAGAAAACACGCTCCCATCCATTTCCCCCATCATAACCTGGGAGGCACACAAGTGTGTCATACGGGGAGAATTTCTGGCAATTATGGCTACCCTTAAAAAACAGAGGACACAAAGAATCGATGCACTCACACGGGAAATTAGGACCCTGGAACATACTCACACCAGGGATAGCTCCCTCCTGATGTATAACACTCTCATAACCAAACGCGCAGAACTGACACAATTACTGCAACGCCAAGCCAAGAAAAGACTATTAAACACCAAACACTCCTACTACGCGAGGGGAGGCAAATGCAGCAAATTGCTTGCCAATGCCCTGCGCCAATCCAGACAAAATGCATACATTTCCAAAATCAAGACACAGACAGGCATAATATCCCACACCCTTCCAGATATCATGGAAGCCTTTCAACAATTTTACACCAAACTGTACAACCTCAGAAACTCGCCCCCCTCCACAACCGACATAGAAAGTTTTCTTTCCTCTAGGCTCAAAAACACAATCCCTGCAGACGTAGCTCGCTCCATAGACATGCCTATTACCCAGGACGAATTAAAATGTGCGATCAAATCAACACCGTTGGGCAAAAGCCCAGGTCCCGATGGCCTCACGGCCAAATACTATAAACACTTCGCCACACTTCTGACGAAACCATACCTGAGGGCATTTAACGCTCTCACAGACCCGCTCCCACTCCCAGCATTGGCACTAGAAGCACACATCACACTGTTGCCGAAACCGGGTAAAGACCCCACTGAATGCGGTAGTTACCGCCCAATATCGCTCATCAATGTAGACCTAAAGATATGCACAAAAATTCTAGCCACGCGACTTCAACCGATCCTACACACCTTAATACACCAAGACCAATCTGGCTTCGTCCCTAAGCGTGAGGCCAAACACAATACAACTAAACTATTAAATCTCATACACCTCTCCCATGTCACTCAAAGACAGAGCCTACTTCTATCCATAGACGCAGAAAAGGCGTTTGATAGAGTAGACTGGAAAATGCTGACAGCCACACTCCAAGCCTTAGGCTTTGGCCCAAATTGGATGAAATGGATGGGAGCCTTATACTCTACCCCAACGGCGAAATTGAGAATAAACGGCCAATTATCAAACCCAGTACACATTAGCAACGGCACGAGACAGGGGTGCCCTCTCTCCCCCTTACTCTTTATTCTCTCTTTAGAACCCTTTTTGCAGGGAATAAGAGACAACGACGACATTCACGGATTCACTGTCCACCCACAGGAGTTTAAGGTCTCTGCATTTGCAGATGATCTACTATTCTCCGTCATGGACCCACTCACTTCCCTACCACCCCTGCTTGCAGAACTGGAGGCATATGCAGAACTATCCAACTTTAAGGTCAACTACACAAAAAGCGAAATGTTACCCCTCCGAATGGACAGACGCACACAAACTGAACTTAAAGCCGTATATCCCTTCACTTGGGCCGAGAAGTCCATCACCTATTTAGGGGTCCACCTGCCCAGACACTTAAAACACACATATGACCTAAATTTTACACCACTACTAACGGCAATATCGAAACATATAGGGGACTGGCAGAGACCGGTTTTCAGCTGGTTATGTAGGATCAACATATTGAAGATGAACACGCTACCTAAAGTGCTGTACCTCCTACAAACACTCCCCATCACAATCCCCCCCTCCTTCTTCACTAAACTCAAACGAATCTTCACGACCTTCATCTGGGCGAACAAACGCCCGAGGATAGCATACTCGGTTCTGACCAGACAGAGAACAGGGAGGGTTAGGACTACCCCACATTGAACGCTACTACCAGGCGGTCATACTGACTAGGATATACGAATGGAATGCAATACACCCACTCAAACAATGGGTACACATAGAGAGCTCCATGTTCCAATCCCCTCTATATACGATCCCATGGCACGACGAGGGTCGTTCTCTCCTCCGGCCACAACACGCTCATCACCCAACGATCATGCCCACACTACGTATATGGTCACGCATTAGACACCAAACTGACGTCTCACCACATCCCTCACCCTTCTACCCTCTAGCACACAACCCCAACTTTTTACCGGGCTTACGCCCCCAGTTCTTCCATCAGTTCCCACCGACTCAAAAAACAAGATACCCGATGGTCAGCACGGTCATCACACCAAAGGGGATAGCTCCGCTGTCTGTCTTAACATCCAAAGACCACCCAACTTCCCAGCAATATTTCCAATACGCCCAACTGTCACACTTCCTGAAGGGGGAATCACACCTTCTTCGAGGAACAAGAGCACACACCAAATATGAAACCTACTGTACTACACACAGCCTACAAATCAAGCACTTATCTATATTCTACAAACTCCTTAACACCATCAATCTCACCCCCCTCCCCCATTCACAGCTTCATGGGAAACTGAGCTGGGGATCACCATTCCAATGGGTACATGGCACAAAATATTCATATACGCCCATACCACGTCCATTAGCACCGCAGTAAGGGAAAGCACATACAAAAGAATCTCTAGATGGCACTACTCACCTGCTAAGATACATGCTATTTTTCCAACAGCGCCAGATACATGTTGGAGGTGTGGGCAACCCAAAGGAACTACAGCTCATATCTGGTGGCTATGCCCGACCATCCAAACTTATTGGCAGAGGTTGGGAGGGCTAATCAAGGCTATAACAGGCCATCAACTACCACAATCACCTGAAACCTTCCTCTTCCTTGTACACACAACCCACATTCCAAACCTCCAACGCAAACTAGTCAACCATTTGCTGACAGCAGCAAATATGTTGATACCGTTGAAATGGAAAAGCACCAGGGCCCCGTCAGTACGGGAGTGGATACAAAAGGTAGAATTCATAAGGACCATGGAAGAACTAGACGCATCATACTCAAACAAATACTCCACCTACACCTTAACATGGCAACCTTGGCTGACTTATCTAGGCAATAGAGCCACTTAATCACCGTCTAAACCACCAGCTACACAAGACCACCCTAATACCTGCACTGTTCCTACCCTTCCCCTGTTGTTCCCCCATTACTATAAGCTGCAAACTATATCACGCTTGAAGTTATATTGAACTCAATAGAACAAACTATATTGTCCGCTTTGAGACAAAATTCCCTCAAACCAATTACTGTTACCCTACTTTGTTGTACAACTGTGATAAATGTAAAAATGCGCAGACTTTCTTGCCTGCATATTTAGAATTGTTAACTGTTATACAAGGGTGGCAAACAACACCCATGTTTTGTAACTTTATATGCGCAATTAAAATAAAGAATATAAAAAAAAAAAAAGAAATGTAAAAACAGCCCTGGTCCTTAGCAGTGAGAAAATTTGAGAGACGGTCTGGTCACTTAGGGGTTAAAAACAAACTTTCATCAGGACCCTGAGCCACAGACAGAGAGTGTGTGCCTAAACAAAGTGAATTAAGAGATTTAACTGTTGGATAACAAATATTTGTGCATTCAGACTGCAGCGGCATGATCTATACACCAAAATCACCTTAATATCTATCACTGTTTTGCTGCTTAGTGTGCTTTTAAATGTGTTAACTCACTGCAAAGGTCCAAATAATCATACGAAGAAAAAATGTACAATGTAATTTGGTAGAAAATTGATGCCATTAATTTGCTTGCTCAAACAATAGTTTCATAATGTTATTGTCAAACAAAATAACTGACAAGTCACTATCTTGTAATAACATCACTGACCCAGTATAGTATTAATAAGCTTTATGAAAAATGACTTTTGGTGAATTTGCAGTATCTCTTTGAATTGTCATTATTTTACAGTTTTAATGAAGGAAAATACATTAAAGTAATTAAAAAGAACTACTGAGTGATAAATGTTTTATAGCATAGCTACAATTGATTCAGCTGCATTTTGAGAAGTATTATCTTTAAACTTTAGCATACAGTCTCACATAAAGCATTGCATGTGAATTGTACCTGAGTAATGTTTGTTATATCACTGTTGATCCCTATGGATTTGAATGCAATGATAAAATCCGTATACAATTAGGAAACAAATTAACCAGGCCCAACCTATATGTGTATCATTTGGGGATTGCAAAACTAGCAAGATTGCTAGTAAGCATTTCCAAAGTTAACAACCCCTAATAAGCCAGTCAATGGTTATTGACCAATTACTGTTTCCTAAGAATGGGATGAAATTACTCCAATAAATTCTGCAAGAAGTCAAGTGGATAAATGGATTTCTCACTTACTACTGGAAAAAACTGTGAATTTTGTATGATTCTTCATGTTTGTTATACTCTTTATGAGTTGGGTATGAATTAACTCTTATATGTCTGCTCTGTATAGTTCACAGTAGTGAATTGGTTTTAGTTTTAACTGCCTCTGAACATTCATAGTTGTGTTTCCACCATATTCGTTGATTTATTGTAAAATGATCTAGAAATTGTTATGGATGAGCTTTTTATAGATATTCCCTCAGAACTAACAGCAAATTTGAGAAACACAAGTATCTCCAGTGATATTACCATTTTATGACGCTAGTACACATTTTTCCTGGTTGGGCTGAAACATTGACAACTAAACTGAGTATTGTAGTAAACTTCTGCTATAAATATCTATCTATCTATTTATCTAGCTTTCGATCTGTCTGTCCCTGGTCTCTCTGTCTTTCTGTTGGTCGGTCTGTCTATCGGTTAGGATCCACTTTTGCCTTCAGTGTATCCCAGCTAGCAACACAAGGCAGGGTGAATCCATGAAGTTTACAAACCAATTCTTATTTTTATATTTTAAAGTTGAAAGAGAAATCAGTCTTTACAGACCAGCTTTTGCCAATCATATGCTGTACTCTCATCTTCCATTTCTCATCTCCCAAAAAATGAACATGGTTAGGTCTTTTCCCAGCAAAGCTTTTTGTTAAGCTTGATTCACTTTAAATTCAGAAGTGTTCTTTTGCATATTAATGGTTTGGTTAGAGTAATATTTCAATATACCTAGAATGCAGATGAAAGAAAGAATGGGATACATAGAAGTTTAGTCCACAGGGCTGCCATTTTGTAGGTGTCTATGGTACAATTCATTGCTAAAACTCTGGTAGCTATATACCATTAACATTCTAAGAGCTCAGCTGTTTGTTATATACTCAATCCCTCATGCCAATTACATGTCTTCTGCATTCTAATATTTAGGGGGACTGGATACTTAACTCACACTTATATAATCTACCTTGGAGTCATCCTCCAATCGCAGCATTTACTGTAAGTTGGCCACATGAGAGTGAAATTTAGATTCACTTTCTGGATGGCATAATTTACTTTGTTACTATATTTACTTACTATTGTCTGTAATGCATTTAGTGCTTTTTAACAATTTGCCTTTTGCTTATTCACCAACTACAATTCTTATTCTTTCTTTTTTAGTTTATTTTAATACTCACAAACTTTAGAACATTTAAGCTTGTACAGTTGACATTTTCTATATAAATGTGTCAAATTGACAGTTAGAAAGATTTTTTTTTCAATGATTGTGGATTTTGTTCTTTCCTAATTTAGTACTGTATCTATATTTGCCTATTATACGAAGCTTGTAATGACAAAACGAAAGCCAATCTTTAAAAGCCAGTAACATAAAAGAAGATATCTCTTTGTAAGTAATTCTGGTGCTTCACCATTAACTTACAATGTTATTTTATCCTTGAAAATATTGGCTGTCCTACCCAATTATGCTTGACTGATATTATAAATGACTGTGTGCATTAAATCCCTCTTAAACCACATGTCTTGAAGAAATGTAGTCAAATCACTTTACCCATTTGTTTAAAAGGGAAAAGTGAAGATGACACTGCTCAACTTGTAAATGACAAATATTTATAATAATTCTTCTTGTCAAATAGTGAGCAAACTTTCCTTTTTCACAAATAGTGGCAGAAAAACTGAATTAACCATTTGTACTCAATAAATAATTCCAAAATGTCTCAAAGTTTTTGTTGCAATAAAAATATTTTAATATGGGTTACAAATCTAATCCAAAAACAAAAACCAAGGCCCATTTTACTATATTCAAATATTCTATTTTGCCTTGCATGAATTTTTAAATATGTACTGCATATTTGATAATTTCTTTAAAAAAATATTCACAAATGTTTAGTGTGCTAAATTCAATCTCATAGGTGTTTTAATCACTTGTGGGACATATGTTTTTGCATAACTGGCACTTCTCAGTTGCATTAAGAATTCCTACTTTGCAAGAAATCCCACTATAACTGAAAAATAATCATTTTTGCATGTAAACATTTGAAAAAAAATTCATTTTATGTCTAATTTTTTTTCCCCCATTCACATGATATTTAAATATAGATAGATGACAGCAAAACAGACAGATTTATTTTAGGAATAATTGTAGGAACTCAAAAATGTGCCTATTTGTAAATGCTCCTCTTTTCAATAAAATTCTGTCCATATCTATTCAGTATCTAGTTAAATTTTACTGTTTTAGGTAGCAGCTGCTTAATTTAAGTATTGATTACGTTTATCATTAACATCTTCTTAATACTTTACCAGATGCTTTAAATGTGCAGCTGTTTCTCTCAAAAGCATTTGAAAAATTACTTTTAAAAATCCAGTGTAAGGCAGCAGTTTATTAAAAAATATTGTTTTGCAGAGTTTTTTTAAAAGAAAATATAATAAAAAATAATATAAAAGATGGCAAATCTATCACATGTAACAATATAATTAACATGCTTGAGTGAATATTCCAGTTTCAAGGCAATTGCTATTTTTTATTTTTGTTAGTTGGCAATCTAAATACCAATCACAAAGAAAGAATGAGAACTCTGAGAATGGACAAAGGCTTAGGGAGACTCAATAGCTTGCCCTTCAATAAACCTCTTTTCAGGTCTCAAAATATTTTTGCTCAATTGTGCCATTACAGAGAAAACATATCTGATTTACTAAATCAACTTATTTTTGCTCATCAAGTAAAAAGTACCACCTTTATGAACAATGACTTTTATATATACATATAACTGAGAGGAGGGAAAATTTACAGCAGTCGGAGAAACAAACCATATTTAGACACTATGTAGACGAAGATTAGATACATTTTATTTTTAGTGGCAGTGCCACTTTAAGAATATGCCCAATTGTTTAATTATAATTTTCTTTACTTTTTATACAGAACACCATACATACATAATTTAAAATATGTATGTATGCATTGCATGATTAAACATGAATACAATCTAACAATTTGTATAACTTTTAATAATATTTCTCAATCATTTGCATACTACCCTTGTGTAATTAAATCAAGATATCTAAATGCAGATACATTTATTTACCATAATTCTAATATAATTTTATGCATTAATCATTTGTATGTTTTTTTTGGCAGCTGTAAGTCTTATACTACAATGAGTACACTTCTACGTCAAAGCTGGTTTAAATCTATTTTCAGAATCCATTTGTAAATGTGAATGTGGTCATAAAAAAAAAGTCTGCTTCACAAATACAAAAATGATTATATGACAAAAAGCAATATATTTTATTTGGAAGCCAAATTACTTAGAAGATGAAAATATGGTTGCATATTTTAAAACAAAACATCTCTCTTTTGATGAACATTTGTATAAATCTACGCATAAGCTTCATTTGTAGTGGAGTGCAAATAAATAAGATACAGACAATGTTGAATTTAAAAAAATAAGTAGAAAAAATCAGCTAAAATTAATTCAACATTGTCATTCTTAGTCTATTTACTATCACCAAAGCAACTTAACTGCTGATTTGACCTTTTCAATTGCCTGGATTTTGAAGGCTTAATTTTGCACCTGCTCATCAAATTAAGAAATGATTTGCAACACATGCTGCTATGCTGCGGCAAATGAAAGGACAAAGTCCATTTTATGGCAATATGTTAGTGCCAATGGAGAAAAGCAGAAATGAGCCAAATTTGGAAGTTAACATAAATCAAAAGCCAAAATAGGTTTTTGGTTTTTTTAGTCATCAACGGAGTAAGTTTCTTTTTTTTTTTACTGTCAGTACTTTCAACATGCAGATTAAGGAGCAATGTACACACAAACATCCAGTTTGAAATTTTACAAGGTTACATAAAAATCACCTATCTCAGCAAACACATATTGGGATTCAGTTCCACCATGGCCATATCTGGTTAAGATCTCCAACACTACTTCACAGTTCCCCAATATCAATGGGTCCTACACTAATTTTAACATGGGAGACCATTTAAATAATGCTAGTGCTAAATGAGCTTAAGTGCATTTAATGAATCCTTTGTAATAGCATTGTGATTATATGTATATAATGCAAAACTAAAAGAATAAAAAAAACACAATACAAAAGAATTGTCAAAATTAAACAAATTAACATTATTGTGCTTTGATGCTCTTTATAAAATAAAAACTATTAAAGTGACATTGCTGTCCAGAACTTTTGGAGGTAACCCCAGGAAAGTATACATTTGAGGAGGTCATGGGTAGTAATGTCACTTTAATTATAATTTTCATTTGATATAGAGCAGAAATATGATATCACAAGTATATACATCAAAGCACAATCACTTTCATTGTTTAGTTGTGCACTATATTTATTTAATAATAACAACACAATTTAATTGTGTTCATCACATTCTTTTTGCATGATATATATTCTCAATGCTCTTGCAACAGATTAATTAAAGGAACACTCCAATGCCCAAATGGGCAAAAAACAAACATTGCTTAGTAGATATGCCCTCAATGAGTACATGCATATATTTATTGGTGGTATATCTTAAAAGAGCTTGAAAAAGCTACAGTTCCTGAATTGCCCTTTTTCCCTGAAGATATGTTCAGTCTCTTTGCAGTGAAATAACCAATCATAAGCTTCTCATTGAGAGCCTCTGAATTGGTGCCCGCATGCACGAACATCTAGTCTGAGATCTGAAAGAGTTGGTCTGAAGTCTGTGTGAGAGGAGACAGGCATACTCAAGGAGAGCATGTCTGCCACATCTGTTAGCTATGGGGAGCTAACAGAAGTAGGAAGGAAAGCTCTCTGGCTGTGTTTTTTCTTTTTTTTTAAAGCAGCCAGGAAGGTGTTCCCTAGTAGATTTATAAAAGTGCAGATTTCTCATAGTTAAAATAGGATACTCCTCACCAATAAAACTCTACAGCAAGTGGAAGTGCTTTTAGGGTGTGGAGTGGTCCTTTAAATATACTTTAGTTCAATCAGCACTAGCACCATTTAATTTGTTAAAAATAGTGTAGGACCTACCGATACTGGGATCTTAACATGATATGGCCAGATGGTGGAACTGTATCCCTGTATTTGATTGCTATATAGATGTGTGATTTTAAGTAAAGGCTACTAAATCCTCTCCCAAGATTAAAATCACCAGGTCCTTCAAAAAATGTAATCTTGAATCCTTTCTTAATGACTTCAAGAACCTCCCATGGCACAGATTAAACATTATCCCAGATCTAGACTGTGCAGTTAAATTCTTTCACTCTGAACTCCTACAAGTTTGGAATTTGCATACCCCGCTGCGTAAGGTGAGAGTAAAAGGGGCACATATGAACTGGATCACAGCTGACCTCATCCAAATGTACCAGTTTAGGGATTCATTGTGGTCAAAGTTCAAACATACTGGCTCTATGAATGATCACTGTGCATATAGAAAATGGCGAAATATATGCACAAAACAAACAAAATTGGCCAAGGCCCAAAATTTCTGTGAAAATAACCCTAGAAACTTTTGGAAAGTTATAAATAAATTACAAACTCCCCCAACCTACTCCCAACCCTCCACTGTCAAAGTGGATAACCAAACCCTGCAACTTCCCTTAGATGTAGCAAATGTCTTTAACAATTATTCTGTCGGATGCTCCACTACCCTGATTGCCAAGCTAATAAATTACATGCATCCTGAAACTACAAATGTGGATCAGGCCCCACTAAATTTGCAAAGACCCAATATAGACAAGTTCATTTTTAGACCTGCACCTATTAGTTATTAAGAAACACCTTAATAATCTAAAAAAAAAAAAAAAACTAGACCTAATCAAATCCCAGCAATGCTGTTAAAGCTCAGTGCGCCAGCAATTGCTAAACCCTTCACAAACCTAATTAATGAATCCTTGGTGTCTGGATACATACCCAAACTTTGGAAGACTGCACAAGTAGTGCCTATCCATAACAGTGGTGACACTACTTTGGTTTATAACTATCGCCCAATATCCTTGCTCCCAGTATTGTCAAAAATCTTAGAAAAATGTGTCCTATACGCAACTATGTGAGTATTACCAACAATCTAACTATCTGACCCCTGATCAATCAGGTTTTCGCCTGAATCACTCCACTACAACTGCCCTCCTAAAAGTTTTCAATGACACCTACCTGGAGCTATTTTCCTTGATTTTGCAAAGGCCTTTGACACAGTAGACAACGACATTCTACTGCACAAACTCAAAAACTCAGGTATTGTTGAGTGTCCGCTAACCTGGTTTCGATCATATGTATCGGACCGCTCCCAATATGTGTACATTTCTGACAGCGACTCCCTCCCTCTCCCAGTCACGTGTGGTGTTCCCCAAGGTTCCATTCTTGGCCCCCTACTATTCACATTATTTATAAATGATCTGCCTAATGTCTGCAAATCCTCAAATGTACACATGTACACAGACGACACAGTAATCTATGCAAGGAAATACAATCTACCGCAGCTTGAGGCTGTGCTCTAAGACCCGTTTACAGAGGTAGAAAAGTGGATCACAAAAAAACAAACTCTTCCTAAACACTGACACAACTGTCACAATGATCTTTGGAACAGTACCTAAATTGCACAAATTACACAATTCCTACCTATCCATGAAAACAAAATCAAATAGAACACTGAACGCAGTCCACTCTTTCAAATATCTGGGTATGTTGTTAGACCACAATCTATCTTTTGGCCTCCACATAGAAAAACTTGCATCTAAACTTTATCCAAAACTAGGTGCCCTGTACAGAAACAAATCCTGCCTAAGCCCTGCAGTAAAGGAAAAGGTTGTACAGCAAATGCTGATGCCTATCATTGATTATGGGGATGTAGTATATGCACCTGCACCACAAACCCACCTTAATAAACATAATACATTGTATAATTCATTCTGCCGACTTGTGCTACAATGTAATTACAGGACCCACCATTGTGACATGCTAAAGGAACTAAACTGGTTGTCGCTGGAATCCAGACGCACCTTTCATCTTTCCAGCCTTGTGTTTAAGAGCTTTTCTGGGAAGCTCCCTCACTACCTGAGCAGAATGCTCTCACGGCTGTTCCCACCTCCTATAACCTCTGATCCAATACCAACACTTTATTTAGTCAATACAAAAAGAAAGCAGCACGATCCTCCTTTTCCTACAGAGCACCGCAATTATGGAGCAACCTCCCGCACACTTTCAAATCTTCCCCAAGCCTAAAGTCCTTTAAGAGATCCCTCTCTACATACCTCAAAACAAAATGCACCTGTCACGGATGATTGTATATTTCCTTCCTGTTCTATATTAAATTTTGTATATATTGTGTATTAATATTGTTTTTGTATTTTATTGTACCCTATTGTATCAATGCAATGATTTGTGAACCCAGGACATACTTGAAAACGAGAGAAGTCTCAATGTATCTTTCCTGGTAAAATAGTTTATAAATAAATAAATAAGTAGCCTTGTGAAAATTAAAACTGACTTTTTGTTTGTGCACTGTTTCTTAATGTATATTTTATATAAATGTTGGTCTCTACAGCAGAACTATTGCTGTGAATTTTATTTTCCAAGTTTTCCCCATTTCCCAATTGTAAATAGTTTTTAATACTTTAAACATGACTTGTCTGTTGACTTGACTACTCCTTTTTTAGTAACCTGACTTAACGATCAAGGTATATAAAATATGCAACTTTAACAACATGTAATTAGTTGCAAAAATCCTGTATGAGAAAAAAAGTAGAGATGAGACAGTTTAATTTTTTACTCTATTTTATTGGGATACAGCAAGTAAAGAGTGAATGGAGAGGTAGAGATTTTAATGTAAGGATAGTACAGGCAGTGATGAGGTGGATTTTTAACCTAAACACCATGGTCCCGTATGGGCTCAATAATTTTGAGATTTGCCACTTCTTAGAATTACGTTTTTTATATTTTTATTAAAAAAAATTTTATAACCTATAATATAATTTTTGAAATTTATATACATATGTAGTTTTACTTTTTTATTTATATATTTTTACTCTGCCCACCCTAATTTTTATACTTGTGATACTTTTTGGTATTTTAATATTTGTATATTTGTATACCTTATTTATCTCCACTACTCTAGACACTGTCTGACCTCCTGCACTACGTGCCCTTTTTTCTTTTTTTTGTAATATGCTTGTATTACTTTTTGAATAATCTTGCAAAACATTGACATATTCTTTCTTTTATTTTAAGCAGGAATGGAAATACCTTCAGGCTTTTAAATAAGCTTTAATTGGCTGTCTCTTTAAATATGATCATATTTGGAGAGGGACAATTCTTTATGTAATATTACTAAATGATAATCTATTTTAGGAAAGGTGAAATATGGCTTATTTTTAAATTGGTTGTTTCAAATTCAGTAATATGTTTAATTAGGACATTGGTCCACTTTAATGTAAAATGTTGGATCTTGCATGCATACGTATACATTTTTAAAAGATTACTACAAACGTATAATTTATGGAATATATGATTATTTGAATGTTATTGTATGAAGTATATTATTGTACAATTTGGTAGTTTAATATATGGGCAACACAATGTTGGACATCGCAAGCTAAAGCCCGATACGAAATGTGCATAAAAGGGAATTAACAAATAGCCAATGAGGATTGCGAACTTTGCCCTTATATGCCCCTCTCCAAGATGAAGTCATCAGAACATCCTGAGGAAGCCGCAACTAAACGGCGAAATGCGTTGATGTCATCCAGAGGGGGCGGAGCTTGAGGATCCAAATTAC